AATAGAGTAAATGGGACACTACACTCTATTGTCAAAAGTCAGAATGTGTCAAAAAGGCCTACTTTAACGTATGGTAGTGAAAGTTGGGTGTGGCAGAAGAAGCACGAGAGTAGAATAAATGCAGTAGAAATGCGGTCGTTAAGGAGTATGTTAGGGCTGAATCTGAGTGACAGGGAGAGAAACTGTGTGATAAGAGAAGAGTGTGGTTTGCAAGATGATGCGGTGACCAGGATTAAGAAAGGAATGCTTCGGTGGTTTGGTCATGTAGCAAGAATGAATGAGGAAAGTCTGACAAAGCAAATTTATGTTGCAGAAGTGAATGGCAGAGCTAATAAGGTTTGTCGACCACAGGCGATCTATTGATAAGGGGCTAAATTAAGAGTACCCTTAACCGACGAGCATGTATGCGTAGGTATATAGATGTGGAGGCGAAAGAGGTGTGTCAGAATCGTGCTAAATGGTAGCCTGCATTCTCTGCCTACCCCTCTGCGTGACAGGCGTGAGTGTTTATGTAATATACTCTTATGTAGAGATTAATGTTTCTTTTTGTTTCAGTGATATTATATATTAATTCAAATTAGACATCGATAAACTAAACTATAGATATTCCTAAAAGTAGAAGAATACAGCACTGAGGCATTGTTGTGTGTAACCAAAAACTTTTATAAAACAACGAGTGTCCTTATGACCACACGACTCAAGTAAAACTTCTTTAGTTCCATATGTATGTATGTATGTGTATATATATATGTGTGTTTATATATGCATATAAAATGTATAATATATACATGTATATATATCAATTTACAACAATAGTTAAATTTATTATCGGCTTCCTTCCATAATTTGTTATTATTCACCCTAAAATTCACAAAACATGAACTTTAAAATGAATTTACAATTTTATTTACTTTAAACGTAGAATATTTAATATATTGAACAAAATATTAATTAATAAAATTAAGAAAAATAACTGGCGATGAGAGAAAGAGAGAAAGAAAATATGCGCGTGCACTGCTCTTTCTTGCTTATATCCCACATTCGACCCCCGTTTGCCTCACCCGATCACACTTTTTGTAACGCTTACGTTACGCGTTCATCAGCTTACTTCTCAAGTCAAGCGTGCGTAAAGAAGTTTTACTTCAGAAAAGGTAACTTTTCAATGACGACGACACTATATGACCATCTGCGTAACAAATGAATTCACCTCAAACCCAAATAGCAACATCTGATGCTCGCAAGATCACCAGCGTTCATGATCGAAACGTTTCACAACAATGTGACAGACTGAAAATAACTAAAAAGATAAATAACTTACAGCACCTAACGTCATCAATTTACTGGGTACGTAGGCTTCGATTATATTTACAGCTAAATTTGCATCAAACGACTCGTTTCGTACGGCGCGGGGCGGCTTACCGGCCGGTACAGCACTTGTATTGTTCATTTCTGGGAGATAATAGAATAACTTACATTACAATTTAATACTCATTAAAAATCATTTATGCTTTTATTACTTTGAGAGAAATCTCTGCCCTGGGGAGAACTGACAACAAATCCACTGATAATATGTAACTAAAAATTCAATTTATCATGGCTTCGAATTTCATGTAAATGTAAGGCGACATCGCGAAAAAATGCACCTCCTTTCATCGAATAGGATTTCATCGACTATGACACCACTAACGAAATTGGAATTTTATTTTATTTTTATTTTCAAAAACACGATTGTATAATTTTGACTCGATCATAATTATTTGTGGAAATACCTCTAAAAATCACTATAATTGAAATTACAACGAAATTACTTAATCTATATGCTTGGGAATCATTCAAATATATATAGGCTGTGTTCCAAAATAGAACCCAGTGTACTGTCCAATGCAAATGACGTCATGAATCGACGCTACACTGGTGATTCGTTCCAAAACATAGGACAGTATATGACATCATACATTTGCGCCAAATTGGAAAAGTGTTGGCGATTATATTGTCAATTTGTGTTCCAAAAATCATTATATCCAATTATTCTATAGTTTTTTTTGTATTTGAATAAATAAAAACAAATTCTGGCATGCTTCATTCAGCGCGCACACAATTAAAAATTGTTTAATTTTGGCGGGATATCCGACACAATATGGCGGCGGCACGCCAGTACAATATGGTGTCAATTTATGATGTCATTTGTATTCGGCAGTATACTATTATTGATAGTATGAGGGTATGTTCCGAAACGTTTTTTTTTTTTTGGAACATACTATTATACTATCAATATTCGTAATTTACTTGCTCATTATTTTGATTACTTTAATCAACAATTTTTTTAAATATTTTAAGATTCTGACAATTTTCAAGCGTTCTTAACCATCGCGGGCGCTACGCAATTTTAGACCTTATGGTGGCGTTTTTTAAGTTTTTATAGAAATTATGTATTCACTCGGACCAGTATGGCGATAGCCCGTAGCAACTTTAAACGTTAATTTTCGATGTGTCGTCTTAAGTGACGGTATAATAGTTCAAATGTTCATCGTCGAAAATGAGATTTAGCTATTCTCCTGGTTAGTAGTTAGTTAGCTTGGTCTCCATCTTTTTAAAGTTAGTAATTACATATTATGTACTTCCGCAAAGTAACGCCTGATTCTACTAACCATTCATTTTTTATTTGTTAGACATAATAATTATTAATAAACCACAGAGAACAATAGTAGAGAAATAAATAACTTTTTACGTAACGGTCGGTTCAAGGTCAAAGTCGTTACATATTATTGGTACTTACTACTTACAATGCACATGATTTGAATTTTTTATTATTAATCGCTATATATATGTATATATACATTAAAAATACTTTAAAAAAAAGAAAGAATCTATGCCATAGGCTCTACTTCGTCAATCTTTACACCCTATTTTTGTCTAGCGGTAAAAAATCAGCCTGTATACACAATAGACTTGCGGCACTTCATCAAGTCCTCACAGTGTACAAACGCAACTGTGGCCTTTAACCACAGGAGCCTCCTACCTTCAGGTGGACTGTTTTCTCTGAATTCACAAAAATGATCCAATTTTGCCCAAAAATCCTTAAGTTCCCCTCGCCGAGACAACCGCCACTATCACTATGCACCTAGTGCTATATACTATGATCCTTATTTACACGACCTGTAGTACTCCCAACGATAGTCTATATGACAACATATAAATACATATACAAAATGGAAGAAACATCCTTTGTAATCACATTAAATTCTAAAATAAAAAATATCGAATTTTAATCTTATACAGAGTGTTCTAAAATTCTTAAATGTATTTTACTCCTATTAAAATTTAAAAATAAAATGCAAATATGGCACCATTATGCTTTTTTACAGCTCGCAAAGTCGACTGATGAACATAAACCTGTCCATAGTAGGAATGACGACCTTATACTTAGTATGTTACATCTTGTTCGTTTCCATTCTTCCTTCAAATATTTGTTTAATAAAATTACAAACTTTTCATCTAATATTTGGTTTATAATGAAGCAATATTTTGAACATATATTCACCAAACGATCAGTGTTCAAACTTGACAGCATTGCATTTATTATTCGGTTTCGTTACTAAATAAGAAACTTCATCAATCTCTACATAATCGCAATATAAATTAAGCTAAGAAGAATTATAGAACACTCTGTACATCGTAAATAAATATTATACAAAATCGATCCAATAATTTATAAAACATAATTAATGCTTAAAACTATACGAAGCTATATCATTGACTTCGTTTGTAATGTCACTTAGAATTAGTTTCCGACCGAAGATTCAGCTTCGGCAAAAAAAAATCACTTTTGGCGAAACTTTAGCTTCGCTGAAGGTTTCTTAGCAAGTGTCGAAATTGAAGGAACTCTAGCAAATGAGCGTAGAGCGCGATGGACGACGGCAGGTGGCGACGCAATTTTTATCATCTCTAGATCAATTTCCAGAGATGATTAAAATTACCTTTTTATATTATACAGCCAATATAAACCTTTAGTTTAAAAGTTTTCCAATCAGTAATATTGATTTTAGTAAAGATTGAACTGAATTTATTAGGGTCAGATACTACTTGGAATAGAATATTAACGAGTGGGGGGTGCCGTATATTGTCATTACAAACACCTCCCCCCTCCTCCCAGTGTGACGTAGCGTAGGGTTACAGACGTACGTACAAACAGACGGTACAACGGCTACATGTATTTGGCAGTTGCGGGTGACTGGTCACAGTGCGCTCCTGGAACAAGAATGAATACAATCTTATTTTATACAAGTTTTACACACAACATGATAAGATGGCAGGGGTAGAATTTTCCAAAAATCCTTTCTCAGTGAGTATCTACGAAGAGAATATATATGCTAAATTTCAATCGGGCGGATAGTTTTGGAGGTCTTGTTATTTCGCTTATATCTTATAATAATAATAATAATGTCCTCCAGACCGAATTCCGGTCACGGCGGCCAGCCTCAACGAAGACCAGCCATGGGCACAGGACAGGATTATAGTGGCCAACTGTATGCGCAAGCACAGGTGCACTCTCTATTCCCTCACTCTCACAATCCGAGGAGACGGTAAACCGACACGACCGGAGAGAGATCAGGTGCAGAACCAACGGCTTTACGTGCTTTCAGAGGCACGGGGGTGAGACACCGCCAACTTCCTGATTCCGGACAGCTACTGAGAATTTTTTGCTCTATAGAGTGGGCGTTTATTTCCACCATTATTTTCTTCTCTACTAATTAAAAACTGAATAATTAATTTTTTGGCCCGACCCAGGATTCGATCCCAGGACCTCATGATCAGCAGTCGCACTACTACAACCACTAGACCAACAAGCAGTCGTTATATCTTACACATATATATAAAAGAAGATGTCAAGAAAGCAGAAAGGAAGACGATTTGTTCGATCCGGCAGAGGGAGCTTGTGTGAGATATTACTGTGGGTTGTGATAGTATACACATATAATGAATACCGACCTCGCGTGCGGTTATAGGAATAGCACGGGCCGGTCGGTGGCGCGCTCGCTGCCGCTCGAGTGCGAGCGGCGCGCGCCCCCCCCACCCCCGCCGTCGGCCGGCAGCGAGCTGCCCGACCCGCTGGATCCGGATTTGGCCTCCCCACCAGCCCCCACTGCAACAACACCAAATACATATTGCCTCTAAAACAAATAAAATTTATTTATTATTATTATTATTACTATATTATACGCTTCAACAGATTAGTGGCCATATCACGAGAGGTTTTAGGCCACTTTTATAGACCCCCCCCCTTGGTGATACATCGTGAGGTTTTAGGCTACCCCCTCACTCCCTCCTAGCATTTTACCCCTCCTTGATGATATATTGTGAGATTTCTGACTACCCCCTCCCTCCCAGCAGTTCCCCCCCTCATGATACGACGTACGAGATTATAGGCTACCTCCCTCCCCTCCCAATATTACGTGTATTTTTTATTACTGAAAAGAATAGATTTTTCTAAAATCTGCTTTCAATAAACATATAAATGTAAAATTAGAATACTCAAAAACAATAAATATTAATAAAATTGAGAATTGGATTGGTAATAATAAAATATTTTACACGTCCCAAAAAAAAGCCAAAAACAAAACCCCCCCCCCCCCCCCCAAAAAAAAAATAAAAAAAAAAAAAAAAAAAAAAAAAAAAAAAAAAAAAAAATATTGCCACTCATTAAATTACATTCTTTCATCGCAGAAAAAAATACACATGACTGTCACATTATCACCCTGCCTCTATCGTGATTTTTTCGTACCCCTCCCCTCGTTTGAACCTCACGTAATTAAATGACAACCCCTTACACAAAAACAAACTTTAATCAAAACCGAAGTGCATAGAAATATTACTAATAATACATAGCGTTTTTATACGTGGTAGAGCCACTCTGCAGCTATATATTATGGTTAATCAACACGAATATAAAATAATTAATAAGCACGAATAGGTTAGCTCGACCGGGGAAGGACCACGCTCTCACAGAATACCAGCGTAAAATAGCAGCTTAATGCATATATAAATAAGTGCTTCATATGGTGAGTGAAGAGAACCGGAGACCCTTTTTACTGGAAATGAGGCGTTCCATCTTAGTCCTAACGGGTGACAACGCACCTGCATTTTGATTTGTAATTGAGGATAAATGTGGATATCTATGGGCCACAGCATCCACTTACCACCAGATGGACTGTGTGTTTCTTTGTCACCCAATGCTATAAAAAAACATAGAAATTTACATGTATCCTTGATTAAGAATCACAATGCATATATGCGTTGCAGATTGACAAAGATTAAATGCCTTGTTTCCAATAAAAAGGGTCTCCAGTTCTCCACACTCGCCATACGAAACAGCATTATTAAACTGCTGTTTCACTCTGGTATTCTTTGAGAGCTTGGTCCTTTGAGCCGACGACTTCTTGCTACAACCATAATATAGGTGCAGGGTGGCTCTAACACCTTAGAAATCTGATTTCCGAAAGAATCACAGCACAGTAGCAGCTCTCTTAAATATTACTGATCATATTCTGGTTGTTTCGAGTGTAAGGAAAATATGGTCTCGCTAGACTTTAGCTGCGCCTTCGATTGTGTGGATACATGTATCCTATTGGCTACGATTTCACAGATTTGGCCTGCATCTGGTTTCAATCTTACTTTCGTAATCGCTGCCAAAAAGTGCAATGTATGGATAGTCAAGAACTACTAAGTCTAAAACGCCCTCACTTAATAAAGGTGTTACCCAGGGTTTATATTTGGCCCCACATTATTCGAAAAATACACGGTCAATATTATAAAAGTGCAATGTTTGGATAGTCAAGGACTACTAAGTCCTTGACTATAGCTAAGTAACACGCTCCCACTAAATAAAGGTGTTACCCAGTGTTCAATACTTGGCCACACACTATTCGCAATACACGGGGTCAACACAAAAGTAGTGTATCGATATATAGATATTTTTGACAACATCTTTTATTTTAGATACACCGATATAAAATATCAAGTATAGAAAATGTATCAAATACGATTTCCAGTATAACAACACCATTCTGGCCATTAACTCAGCCGCTGAAATTCAGCTAATCCATTAAAATGTTGGTCTGACAGCCGCTATTTCACCAAAGTACATGCAAAAATAGCGCTTAAGTATGGTACCTATTGAATCCTCAGCTTCATCAGAGAGAGTGGCATATTTAGCATACCCAATAAAAGAAGCCGACTTTAAGCAGAGCACATCAAACTCATAGTTTTTCTTTTGTTTCTTTCGGATAAGTATTGGTGTGCATATAAATGTTTTATTAATTTATATAATTTTACATTACTGTCACATAATTATCAGAAATAGTGTTTCTATATAGTTTGGTATTTATATGAATTGTAATTCTGACAAATTTATTGAACTAGACTAGTAAAAACAAACACATAAAGTACAAATTAATAAAGTAGAAATTCAAAAAGTACAAATATTTTTTAGAAAATTTCAACGATAAATCGATAATTATTTTTTCGGTATATCAAAATCGATATTTTCTTAAAATATCGAAACGCTATATGTCGATACTTTTTGGCAATTCCTGCATCTTTATACAAAAACAATAAATCACACCTATATGCAAATGACAGTCGTCAGTCAGATGCGAGTACTATCATAGGCGAATCACATATTTCAGAACATTTTAACTGTTATAGTTGACCATACCTGGGTGTTCTTTCGCAGTGAGGTGATCCGAGCCAGCACTGGAGCCTCCACTTCCGGAGAGGACACTCTCCTCACGGTTGTATCTGCAAACGGACGAACAAATATCAGAATCTGTTTTATTAAAAGAAAAATTCTTTAGAATCATCGTGATATAAAACTCGATTAAACAAAAAAGCGCCAGTAAAAAGAGACAAACATATATGTCTATAGGATTTAGCCTGCGAGAGAACGAGATAGAATAAAGTGTTCCCTATTATGAATGGAGATTATGCATGTGATCTAGGAACAGTTAGGACTATAGACGAAATGTAAGTACTTACGATGATCGAATTGAAAAATTGGTACAAATAAACTAGACATGGGACGAGTACTCGGTTTGGATACCGTACTCGGCGGATTCGGCCGAGTACCGGTAGTATTAACCGAGTACCGAGTACCCGGCCTTAATAATATTCCAGAGAAAAATAAAGACAAAAAACCAATTTTTATTATTATATTAGACACATTAAAACATCAGGAACATGACAAACAGCACAAGTATTGGGAACTTACGTAAGAATCTATAATAAAATTATTATTACTAATATTTAAAATTTAAGAGAGGAAGATTGTGATGCAGAAACAGTGTTTTTCGGTTTTGTATTAACTCGTATCGTTTTATCCCTAACTCTGCGCCGCCCGCTACCGCTTTTCTATAAAGCCGTGTATTCGGCCGAGTACTCGGCCAAATCTAGACCGAGTACTCGGCGAATCACTACTCCTTCCTTGTCTAAAATAAACCCTACAATTATCCTACTGTTCAATCATACTGTTGCGCGCCTAAGTTGATGTCTGGTACCTGGCACTAGCGCCATCTTGTGTCGGGAAACAGAGCGAGGAGAGCTTTCTAGAAAATGCCATGCTGGAACTTTCCACCTCCAGCGCCATCTAGTATCGAATAGAAGAACTAAACTTTCTAGAAAGCCCCCACACTCGAACTTACTGCGCCTGGTCGGTCGGGGGCCGGTATTTGCTGAAATATTCTGGATGTTTCGGTGGAAGAACCCTATACAATGCCATTAAAACCCCAATCGGGGCATTATTGAGTTTACTTTCGGAGTGAACTAAAGTGTTAAGTGTGAATAATTATTAGTGCGATTTAAGTTTCAATTGGTGTTCAGTAATTATAGTGTCAATTTTGGTAATTCAATCGGCAGTTATTATTGTCACGAACCGTTAGCTCGTAACAATACTCTTCGCATTCGTCACACTCTCTCTAAGTTTAGTTGTCTGAAGATTTTACTAGTATCGCGTGTCAACCGAACATATTATGTTTTTTAACAAGTAATCCACCCCGGCTTTGCCTGGGTAGTATCATCCAATGTAATTTTTTTGTTTGATCAATTTTTCGATTTCAGAAAAATATAACTCCGAGTAGTTCGGAGTTTTAGCCTAGATCGCTCCTTGCATCGTTCTCTATCTGATCGTGAAGTGTCCTTACAATCGGTGCAGCCATTTCGAAGATTATCCTTAACAGACAGACAGAAAAACAACATTTTTTAAAATAGCTGCTTGTGTTAATAGTATGCAAATAAATAGTAATAATAGTATGCAAGTATGCAAATAACCTCTCCAAGTTAATAATAATAATAAAGTTATAATATTTTCTCACAAATTTAGTAATGTACATACAACTTAAGGTTGCCCTAGTCAATGGCACGAACTAAGTGGTGGGCGGGGTAAAAATGCATGCTATCTCAGCCGACATCACGTGCGAATAGGACAGACGCTGTGATGAGCAGTAAGAAGCTAGTGCGCACACACATACGCACTCGAGTGACGCAATGCGAGACGGCGTCATCGCGTACCTACCTATGCGATTCATTTTTGAATAATAACATAAACTCAAAGCCCCGTATCGCAGTGGCTTAGCAATGAGGGCGCGGGTTCGAATCCCGCACGGAACAAATATTTGTATGGCCTACAAATAGTTGTTCCGGGTCTGGATGTTTGTCCTTGCGCAATTTATGTTTGTAAACTGCCTCCACAATACTGTAGAAAATCCTACTGTGGGGGTAACGTATTTCAAAAAGAGAAAGGAGAGAGAAAAAAAATTGGTGTTATTATAACTTAGGATCTGCTGTGTAAAACGTAACGTAAGTGTTTTAAAAAAAACAACTTACAAAACACATTTTATTTATCATTGACTGCCCTTCTTAGATTATTATGTACTTACATAAATTACATTAAGTATATTAGGATATGAGATTCCTATACGTAAGCACGATATTATCGAAAATCTAAAAATTACCTATTCTAATTAAATTAATAGATAATTTTAAGATTTTCGATAATCGTGCTTATCTATGAGATGTTTTCGTTAGTTAGCAAATTAAAGTAGTTAAGTACCTAATGTACTACCTATATCGAAAGTTCATTATTATGTACCTACCTGTTTTCAATTTTAACTAAATGTGCTTCAACAAACTTATGGGAACATTTTAGCAGCTATATTCATCCCAGCTTCAGCATGGGACACGAACAAAAGGAAGCAATTTTTCTAAATAAAGATGTAGATATGTAGGTATTACAACCGCATATACCGCGTATAATAGCAGCGGCTAACCTAGTGAGCATGTGTGAGTGCGCGCTGCGCCCCCCCCCCCTCCGTCCGTCCCACTGAACGGGGAAACAAGTTGTAGCGAAAGGCAAGATGTTTTATAACAAAAACGGGCGCGCGAAATTTTATAAACAGACCTTTGGTAGTCTGGATGTCACGAAAAATCTATTGAATGTAAGTATCTGTTTAAAATAAAATTATTTGCATTTTTGAACAACTAATCTATCCCTGTATTGTAACTGTTTTGCAATTTTCGTTCTTCTTATGGTATTTATTTCGCCCAAAGATTAACTAGAATCATAACCCTATGTAACTGTTTTGCAATTTTCGTTTTTCTTATGGTATTTATTTTCGCCCAAAGATGTGTTAAAACTATTGTTGAAATTTTGAATTTTCGACGCTTATAACTTTTAAACATACTATTTTTTTACTTTTTTGTTTCCATACAGGGCTAGATAATGATGAGACAAATGAAATCATTTTTTATTTTGAACGTACACCATCAAAGAGTGGAGTAATCGCCAGACTACGTTTGTATGGAAGAATAAGCGACTAGTGTACCCTACCATCAATTTGTGAGAGACCGGTATCCGTACTAAGATTCCCAATATGATATATCACCAGCCCCCACATACAGATTAACTTATAATCTAGGTAATATTAGGTGTATGATAAACAATAAATATACGCAAAGCGCTTTGCGTGTGTATGTGCGTGTATTTAAAGCGACTTACATTTGCAGTAGCTTAGGGAGGGTTAATTAGAAAGAGACGAAGACTTTTTCCTATATTACTTTATTTTCCTTACTTCCTCTTTCGTCCGAGATCGCGTTGCAAGCAGACGTGTTTTTGTTTTTATTTTAAAACCTAATAATAGTTTCACATAATTGTACACCTTAAGTGAATGTAGGATAACGAATAAAACTGTGTAACATACATTCATACATTCGAACTCAAGCTGATCGCCGTAGCCGCTTCGTCGCTGTGTTCTCCCCGACCCGCACATCTCGAGGGAAAGAGTTGGTTGCATAATTGCTTTCCTTATCATCGATCAACGCTACGATCTGCTACGACACGCTAATTACCACTGGCCGCAATTTCTACGAAACACCTACGCTGTTGAACTGTGGTGAGCTACAAACCGCCGCCTCAAAAACCAGTTTCGGATTCTAATCTCGACGACGTGGGCCTAAGCGACAAAGCGGTAATGGAAAAAGAATCGCAGAATAATAAGGTACGACAGAAACGTAAGCGGGAGATCGAAGGATCTGAATTTATGGACGAAATTCGCAGTTTATTTAATAATTTCACTGAGCAACAAAATAATAAACTAGAAAGCCTACAGTCCGCCATTAAAGATATTTAAACACAGAATTCTGAAATTACTGCCACGATACAATTATTGTCGGATAAATATGATGACTTTCGTAAGGAGTTGGATCCGTTAAAACATGAGCGTAAAGAACAACTCGTTTATATAAAAATACTTGAAAACCGGCTTGATAATTTCGAAAATAACACGTATGCTGCAAAAATCGAAATACGTAATATTCCTAAAATTCCAAATGAGTCAAAACTAGAACTTACTAGGGTGGTACAGAGCATTGGAGATCTTATAAATACCCCAATTCTAACGACGGATATAAAAGATCTACATCTAGGATTCGCCAAACCCCATTCGCCTAAATCTATCGTGGTCGAATTTGTATCCATTCTTAAAAAGGAGAGTATATTAAAATCTGTTAAAGGTTATAACAAATCTGGGACTTCTGAAATTGGATGGCCCTTCAGTACCTATTTTCATCTCTGAAAGTCTCACTTTCAAGGGTAAAAGATTATTTTTCCTCGCTCGCAACTTTGCTAAAACACATGGATATGCTTTCTGTTGGTCATCTTATGGAAAAATATACTAGCGGAAGAAGGAAGGTAGCCCACAAATAAGAATCAATGAAGAAGCAGATCTTGCAAGCTAAAGGAAGCCAACATATGACTATCACTCCAGTTTATAGTGTATATAATAAGAAAAATGTTTTTACTACTAATTATTCAAATAACGTACTGTACTAGCCTAGATTATTCTTTTTTTATTTTGTTCTGTACATTTGTTCTGTTCATTATCTTATTACTTTTTTAACTACTCTACACTCTACATGCTAATAATACTCCTTTATATTTATAACTCCATAACATACCACTACACACTTACACAATAAACAACCAATACTTATCCTCGTAAAGCCCAAGGTGTGAACAACTAGATGAGCTAAACGCCCAATGTGCAATACAATGCACAATATCTTGTTATACCGTTGCGGCCCACGCAAACAAAACGATTTTTTTTTGTGATAACCCCAACTAGAATTTTTTGTATAATTTTTCTGGGTATTATATTGTAGTAAAGAATAGAATAAAACTATTTTTGAGTTCTTAGCTCGTTGTTCATTCAAATGTACATTGGGAGTTTATGAGAACTAAAATTATTAATAAAATAAACTTTGTAGAATATACGTAATTCTCTATTATCACAATAACTGTATCGATGTGTCAAAATTTATTTTGAACATATCAATATAACTAAAATTATGAATCTTGGCAACAATGAAACTAACAACAAAACACTTATAACAAATCAACAAAAAAAAATTACTTAACATTAAGATAAAACCAAAATCTTAATGTCCATCCACTAACCATTTTCACGCTGACTCTTCACTGTTATGGAAGTCGCTATAACAGTTTCTTACTTTTGTAAGGCATAAGTTGACACCGCAGGCTCTACATTTGAACTGAGTTCTATTGTAATGGCAGTAACGGCATCTACCCACCTTTTCCGCTAAAAAGGGTAAATGTTTAGCTCCGACCGTACGGAACTTTTTGCTTGGGACAGGAATGAATGCAATGCTCCTCTTTCTTTTCAATGAGGGTCGGTTAGTACTATCCCCGTCAGAAACAGTCAAAAGTGATGGTTCAGCATTTGATTCAATAAAAGTCTCTCCCAATTCCATCTTAAAAGCTCGCAACTGTTGTATTTTCTTTACAGGTACAAGAGATTTTATCTGATCCTTTTTATACTGAAGCCAAGAGTTGTTGATTGCTAAATCAATCATAGATGAAAAGAACCGTTGTGTCCACTTTCTGGTCCTATATCTATACGGACACACTGCCAAAAGGCGGTCTGCAAGATCCACTCCTCCCATTTTCTGATTATACTCTCTCACTACTCGTGGTCGCGGGATGGTCACGTAAACTTTATTTTTTTTACACCACCGTCGACAATTATCAACTTCATCCTTTGCCTCCACAGAAGATAAAAGCAAAACCGGTTTATTATCGTACCATTTTGTGAAGGCTAATTTACCATCATTCCGGACTAAAACTTGACTGCTTCCTCGTCCTTGAGTCATTAATTCTTTGTCATCAATCAGTAACGAGCGTACATCAGCAGGAATCCGATTTTTCATAATAGTTCCCGTCCCTCTAATTCCTTTTATTTCCAGGGCGTCCAATAACTTCTCGGAAGTGAAGTATCTGTCGAAGTAAATTACGTGTCCAGGTACCAAAGGCTCTGTCAGAGTAAGGACAGCCTTTTCACCTAGTCCAAAATGTTCGTAGTTGGCATAGGTAGTTTTTCCTTGATATATATGAAAATCACATACAATACCGTCTGGGTTGGCTAATACAAATGCTTTTAAGCCAACCGGATTAGGCTTACCTGGACAGTACTGCTTGATCGCGCAAGATCCGGTAAATGGGATGATCATCTCATCTAATGAAAGGCACTGATCTTTCTGTTGAGTTTGACATCCAGCCTGAATTCGATTGATTAGGGGACGCATCTTCCATAATTTGTCCTTATCTTTCATTGCGGGGGTAACTTCAGTGTCGAAAACCACTTTCAAAGAATTTCTCAGCAAGAAAAATCGGTTTCTGGACATATTATCAGCAATGAGGGGTACTCTCCATTTAGCCTCCCAATACATCCGTAAATTAGGGTAATTGATAGCCGCCATCAAAAATGATATTCCTAAGTAAATGTAAAGTTCTTTATTTGTTAAGTTCAAACTACGTCCTGTTTTTTCTACTGCAGTTTGATTAGTTTTCGTTACTATGAGATTAATAAGCTGATCATCTATGTATTGTTTCACATAGTCAGTCTTATCAAACCCTACCGTGTCAGTCCACAAATATGCTGGTTGCATCAATTCAGGAAAACGAGGGTGGAAATCTTTAACACTCCAATTACCTGAAGATGTTGTTCCGCGCTCCGAAGGAGAGGAGAGAAGAGGAGAAGCTTGATGGTTTGCTCTGCCTCCACCCCTTACTCGTCCTTTTCCACGCTTTCTTCCACGTCGTCTTCTTTTCTTTTGGGAGTTTTCCTTATCACTTTCAGGTTCGGAGGAAGAATCTCCCGAGTATGATGTTGAAGGTATAGATACACTTACGTGGTGAATTGACCACTCGGGGTCACCTACGTCTACGTCAGATGGAATGAAATCTTCAATTTCTGAAGATTCCAATAACTCCTCGATTTCTTTATCGTCGAGATCTAGAATCAAAAAATTGCAATTGATAACATAAACCCAATACCACAACACACCATAATATGTAACAATACAATAAAACCCAATGTGCAACAAAATGAACATCAGTTTTTGTAAAATAATATAAAATACAAATTGAGTTCTTTGAAACAAAAAAATAATTGTTTCATGAAAATAATATGTTAATTCTCAATTTTATTTTATTTTCATAAAAAAATAGTATCAGATTGTATAAATTAATTAAGATTTATACTCACGTGTATGCAGAATCGGCGGCATGCTTGCAAAAATGATTGAATTTGACAGATTGTCTATGTATTTATCCCAAATGTCATGTGTCAAATTTTGTTCTAGTGAGTTATCAGGTCACCTCGTACACAGAAGTTTACGGTTGGCGCGAAAATTAAAAAGCAAAATGCATACAAGTATAATGTACATTGTATTGTACATTGTGCGTTTAGGAGAAGATTGGTTTTAAAAGTCTGGGCTGTAATTATATACGTTATTTTGTACAATAAATTGTACAGTGGGCCTTACGAGGTTATACAAATCTTATTTATATAGTGTTAATGTTATTAACATTACTCTCAACTTATTACTCTCTCTGATCAATTTAATTTACTTAGTAGAACTATTTAAACTAGAACCTAAATGCCATATAATTTATAAAAATGGATGAAGACATAGGAGATGAACTTGATCAAATTTCGGTATCTGAATCTGCCATATGTGAAGTTGAGCAAACTAAACTATTGCTACATGGCCAACCCAATAGTCTTATTATTATTAATCAAAATATTCGCAGTATCAGTAAGAATTTTGACGGTTTCACAGTATTATTGAAAAGATTTGAGGTTGACTGTGACATTATTATTCTGACCGAAAACTGGCTTGGTTCTGATCCTTTATTGCCTAATTTAAATGGATATAGTAGTCATGCAACAACAAAACATGCATTGCAGAATGACGGAATCGTGGTATATGCAAAATCTGATATCAATATTACTTTTGAAGAACCGACATTTCTAGAAGGAAACTGTCTTGTTATGAAACTCGGTTTCGAAACTGCAATTATAGCTATATATCGTTCGCCTTCATACTGCAAATTGGACTCTTTTAATCTCTATCTTAACGTTACTTTGTTAAATTTATCAACTTTTAAACACATATCAATTATAGGTGACCTAAACATAGACATTAGACCAGAAAATAGAGATAAAAGAGCTCATGATTATCTTAATCTTTGCGCGAGCCATGGTTTTATTACCTGCCCACACTTGTCCAACAAGGGAAAGTAAAACGTATCTCGACCACGTCATGCTCAAAACAAAAAAGCCAGCTCTTACATTGGTGATTATTTCTACATTAACTGACCATCAAGCAGTACTCCCGTGCTTAAATCCGAATGAAATTAAAAAGTCCTCTTCAAAACATAGAACTAAGTAAACTAATGAATGATTACTTACGGACATAGGTTATATAGACTTTGAAACAATATATAAGTCAAATGACGCTAACTTTTGTACAGAATTTTTAGTTACATCTTTAAAAACTGCAATAAAACAAAATACAAGCATAGTATATACATCTAGACGATTAAAAAACATTAAGCCATGTATGCGTAATAGGGATCGAATGCATCTGAAAGTAAAACGTGCACCAGAAAATATAGTGCTTAAACTCACATATACACGATACAGAAATTATTCCAATAGTTTATTAAAAAAGCTTAAAAGAGAGTATGGGAAAACACAATTAGAATTAGCGCATAAAGACAGCAAAAAAGTGTGGGAAGCCATTAAAACTATTATACACACATCTAAAAGAAATCATCGTCTCAGGAATTACTGAAAACTAACTGTATTAAAGACTCCTTAAATAGTGTTAATAATTTCTTTGCAACTGTTGGGAAAAACATCGCAGAAAAAAGTATTGTAGAAAAACAAGAATTATCACAAATTAACCTTGATACAACAAGAGAATCGTTTGTATTATTATCTACTGATGCGGACGAACTGGAACGCATTATAATAAATTTAAAATCAAAATGTACAGTTGATTGGGACAAAATCTCTAATAACTTTCTAAAAACTTTTCGCCATATCCTAATCCCACCATTAACTTATATCTTTAGTTTCGCGAACGGAATATTCGATAATTATTTAAAAAAATCCATAATTCACCCCATATATAAATCTGGAGATAGAGACCGTGTGAATAATTATAGGCCTATTCCTATACTTCCTTCTATTTCAAAAGAATTGGAAAATCTTATTAATATCAGACTTGTAAAATACCTAGAGAACTTTAATATTCTATCAAACTGTCAATTCGGGTTTAGATCCGGAAAATCTACCAATGATACAGTACACGAATTAACCGATAATATCATCAAAAATCTAGACAAAGGCAATAAAACGGTAGGGATTTTTCTGGACCTTGCGAAAGCATTCGACACGGTCTCTATCCCCGTTCTGCTAAGGAATCTTGAAAAAATTGGTATACGGGGTACACAACTAAAATTATTTGAAAGCTATCTAACTGGAAGACTACTATGTGGTAGTTCTGATGTACCTGTTAGCTACGGAGTTCCTCAGGGGAGTATTCTGGGCCCATTTCTATTCCTCGTCTACATAAATGACCTCTTAAAACTTAAATCCTTCCATGGCAAAATCATATCATATGCTGATGACACAGTACTCCTATTTTCAGCAAGTACATGGAAGGAGGCTTTTGATAACGCTCAAACTGGAATTGATGTCTCAGTAAGGTTACTTAGTAACCACCTATCTCTTAATATTGAAAAAACTAAATATATCAACTTTTCCATGACAAATGATCCTCAATCAACTATTAACTATAAGTTAACTGCTCACATTTGTTTAAATTTAATAAAACCTTTAGGATTACCGTGTACCTGCCCATCTTTATCCAAAACCAACAGTGTTAAGTATTTAGGTATTCTTATTGATTATCAAGTGAATTTTAAAGATCATTTAGAAGTTTTAACGTCCCGAGTTCGAAAACTTATTTATGTCTTTAAAAATCTGAGGCATGTAGCTAAACCCGAACTAGTGAAACAAATATACACCGCATTGTGTTAATCCATTATAACTTACGGTATAATAATATGGGTGGTGTCCCAAATACTACGTTAGCTCCACTGAAAAGAGCTCAGAGAGCTGTTTTAAAGGTTTATACTTTTCTACCCATTCTCTATCCAACATATGAACTATATAAACACTGCCAAGTATTAACAGTCCGACAATTATTCATTTATCTGACGATTTTAAAGCAACATGGGTTATTAAATTTTACCTCATCTCAATTAATAAAGAGAAGATCGGACAAAGTGTGCCGTACTGCTACCTTTAAACATTCGTATGCACATAAATATTTTTGTTTTCTTGGTCCATTTAAAATAAATAAGCAACTAAATTTATACATTTTAAATAAGAATCAATGTAAAAAAAAACCTATTCAAATGGCTTCAAAAACTAGACTATGATGAAACAGAAGTATTATTGAAATCCCTAAATAACTAAATTAGTTCTATAACGTATAATATACCATTAAATTATATTTTCTTATTATAGTTATTAATTTAATGTATACTACTCACCCTCCTCCTCGCATACACACTAAAACACACACACACACACACACACACACACACACACACGCACACATACAGACACACACACACACACACACACTAGAGCATGCAATTATCGGAACTTTTCGATAATCGATAATTCAATTTTTATCGGGTTTTTTTTTCGATAAAAACCGAGAATTACCGATTTACATTAAAAAAAAATACCTGTCTCTTAAAATTGCTTTCTTTGTGCATTCTACTCTCTACAAGAAAATTTATTGTTTTTATAATTCAATGAAATACGTTATTTAATTAAAAATATGGTTTTATTTCCATAAAACTAAAAATCAATATAGAAAAAACAAGTCTTAATCATAATAGCACTAGCTATACTACTATCTTTTTCTCACAAACAAAAACAAAAAATATATAAACAATAAAATAAAATATTAATATTAACCTATTACTTAACATTTTTTGGTTTCATTAGGAATCAAGTATTGTAACATTTAAATCAGTCGTTTAATTTAGAATAATTTGTAGGTATATTATTAACATACATAATCTATTTACAATTTTTTTGTTGTTGGCAATAAGTGCGAAGAAACGACAAGCAATTTATAGTTTTGTCGCTAAGGCTTGTGCGCAGTTTATTACATAATATTCCAGCCGCAGAAAAAGCGCGTTCACTCTCTACACTTGTTGGCTTAATTGAACGAATCCATCGATAAGCTTTTGACAGCAATTGGCCTCGATCACCTCCATTTTCAAATAACAGCATTTCAACCTTCAGTAGTGTCAATAAGTCTTCTTTAGACGTTGAAAGATTTCCAATTCCAACTCTTCTCGTGTCATCAAAGATAATTTTGCTGATTTGTTGGTTAATTAATTCTTTATTTGATAATGAGGAATTGCTGCCGACTTCATTCTGCGAATCATCAGTAGGTAAGTCATTGACATCGTTGCAAGTAAAAGATTGTGCGGCCGAATCGTATTTTAGAAGCCCCAATACCATCTCTTGCAGACAATCGTTAGGCAAGCGCGGATAAACATCTGCGTCATATTCATTTTCTTCAAAATATGTTGCTGGGTTGTGAAGGTATTGCATTAGACTTGCAACTGGTAGCCGCCTTTGTTTGATCCTTTTGCTCAGACTTGCATGAAGCTCCTTACTAAGCAACGTGTTACGAGTTTCAAGTTTTTTAAGTGCAAAAATCATGGCAGCATCAGCACTAAGCAGAGTAGCATCTTCGCGACAAACAGCTTCAACAGTAACTTTCATTACATCGAGATTCTCATAAATGTCTTCGAGAATAGACCACTCCACTTCATTAATCTGGATATCACATTTTACATCAATGAGTGCTTTTAAGACTGCTCTTTTCACTTTAATAAACCTACCAATCATATTGCAAAGAGTACTCCAGCGCGTCTTGCAGTCTAATATCAGTGCGTATTCTTTACCAAGCTCCATTTTTATGTAATTTTGAAGAATATCGGATTTCGTTGGTGACTTTCTGAACATCCGCACAATATTCCTCACCTTTTCTACAACAAGCCCAAACTTAATATTTGTCTCCACGTCAACTGTTACATTTGGAGCTTGCTCTATTTGAAATCCACCAGTCTCAGTATCATCTTCAGTGCCAATGCAAACAGTGTTCAGATTATTTTCGTTTTCGGCAAGTTCTTCTTGAGCCTCATTTACGTTTTCTTGATTTTTTACGTAGAACGTATCCACGATGGCCAATTGCAAGCCATGAGCTAAGCATAACTGATGTATGCAGTTTAAATTTCCTCCTAGTTTTGTCATAACAGAAGCTCCATCAGATATAATGGCGATCACATCAGTGTCAAAATCTAATTTAAATTCGTGTAGCCTTTCTCGCAGGTATTCTTCACACTTGATAGCGGTAACAGAGCCATACGTCCTACATAAACCAAGATTTCTCGTCGTGTGGTGGTTACCTTTGAAAAATGCACAGTGAAGATTCACATTCATATATCGCCTATTTCTTGAAGATGTCCATTCATCTATTGAAACCGAAAATTTGTGTCCTTCATCCTTTAGTTCCTGTATTTCCTTTATAAGGTTTTTCTTAGTCTTATCATAAAACTTTATAGTCACATCTTTTATAGTATTTGCGCTTGTAGGTAATTTATAACCAGCTTTTTTAAATAGATGCTTCAGGTCTTCAGATTCTGTAAATGCCCTGTATGGCATACCGTCAAGTGCTGTCATTCTTGATACCATAACATCCAATGATCTGTTTGATTGTGAGAAGTAGTCGGTCATTCTGCAATTTTTCGCTGAAACTGGTGACTCCAATAAAGAGTTATCATTTTTTCTTTTGGAAGTCCCAGCAGTTTCCCTAGCTACTTCTGAAGCAAGCCTTTCGCTGTCAAGTGAAATATTATGTAATCTTAAATGGCTGCGTAGTCCTGTTGTAGTACCACCCGCATACTTAATAACTTTTTCACATGTTTTACATTTTGCAGAATCACCCGTATCGGCCTTTAGGAAATGATACCAAACCGACGTTGGATCGGAACTTTTTTTGTATACAGGAATGTAGTTTATTTTATTTGACATTATTGATTAATTCACTCGTTGCAGTAAGTACCTAAAACAAAAGATATTTTTAATATTCACACTACTAATAATATTATGATTCGAAATTCGAAGCTACGGGCAACACTGGTAGACTGAGACACACTGAGACGTGATCTCGATAAAAATACGGTAATTTGGTAATACTGCGAATGATATTTAAGTATTGTGTAAGTAAATAAACTTTTAAACACACTACGTAACATTTAAATAACGTGTGCCTACCTAAAGTTAAAATATTATATAAAATTACCTACTTATATGACTGACCACTGTGGGCTATGAAGTAAAGAAGATGTATGAATATGAAGTGGGCTTATAAAGCGAATGTCAAACAAGTACATAATATAAAAAATCTACTTAAAATCTATCTATCTAGATTATTTTACTTACCTACTGTAAATCTTTTAGCGTCGTGTCGACAAAAAAGCGAAGCACGCTCAACAGAACACAACGCAACCAACCAAACATCACACCACACTGGATCACACTGAACAAACTTCCCACGCCGCGCTTAATGGCGCGTTCTGTCCTGCACGCGACTGCGCACTTGTGTTGGTCATGAAATGAGTGAGCAAGAGAGCTATAGACACGGGCTAGTGGAATGCCACTGCACGCAGCGCGAATTCCAAAAAATAACTTGCGGTAGTGATGGAAATGATTGCATAAAACCTTTATGAAATTATCGTTTATCGGTATTTTTAAGAAATTTTTCGATAATTATCGGTGAAAAAAATGAACCGATTACCGATAAATTATCGGTTATTGATTATCGGTTTGCATGCGCTAACACACACACACACACACACACACACACATACGCACACACACACGCACACACGCGCACACGCACATACACACACACTCACACACACACACACACACACATATATATACACACAGAAACACACACACACATATACACAGAAACACACACACGCGCGCGCGCGCACACACACACACACACACACACACACACACACACACACACACACACACACACACACACACACACACACACACACACACACACACACACACACACACACACACACGCACATATACACAGAAACACACACACGCGCGCGCGCGCGCACACACACACGCACGCACACACACTTACGCACATACATATGCACATGCACATATACAGATGCACGCACGCACATACACATACAATATATTTACAGTCAACAATATATTTAGTTATGTATGTAGGTTTAATTTTCATACTTTAAATAATATTGTTTGATATATGTTTACGTAAGTTTCTTAATCAGAACGATTTCTGTTAAATTGTCCCATAAGAAAGAGCACTGTTGCCTGAGATACAAACTTATTGCTTAGTTCAGGCGCAGATGCAAACATATATTGATGATAGATGTGAGTACACAGTAATACTAGACTAGTTGACTAACAAACTAACTTCATTACTACTGGGCTGTCTAAACAATTACACCTTGGTTTTTATACTATGTTGAGACGTGCTGGATTTTGCTTAGCGGGTGGTAGGTGACTTCCTGATGGTACTGTGTTGATTATTCTTAAGTTACGCGCTGGTATTTGCTTAGCCTGCTATACTATACTGCAGGTGACTTCCTGCTCGCTTCCAACGTCTCGATGGGCATAATATGCCCACATTTACATATTATGTAACTAGCGTTTAGGTTTTATTTATAGTAGTGGCCAGTAATATCAATATAACATAATATACACTAATATACATAACAAACAGACACTTTCAATTGTATGTATATGTATAGATAGGGACACAGCATCTTACTACTCTTGAGGGGACGTTTGCCACAACTGCCACGCTTGGTTGGTGAACAAAGTTCTTTAGTTCCAAGTTGTTACTGGCAAAACGCTGCTGTCCTTCTCCTGGTCCGTTTTCCTCTGTCGCCTCTGACATCACCCACGAAATATATATGTAAGGTCTACATAATAATTACATAAACATCTAGGATTATTTTATGGCATATGTTCATAAGTGTCCTGGTGAAGTACCGTAATGATTATTATGATATAACGTTAAGGATTGGTAGAGCGAGTGAAACACACAAATATAATGTTATTCAAATAAGAACAGGCCTGACCCGGCGCTATATTGTGACGTCATTGTTGTCAATTCGAACCGGCTAGGTAAAGTGAGCAAGCTAATATTTTTGAAATAATTTTCCGTCCTTTTTACTTCTCTTATATTTAATAAATTTTCACGAAACTTTTAAAAATATATCGTCTTACACAATCTCACTTACCTACGCCAAATTACACAGATCTTACTTCCCCGTACTTTCACTCCATTGTCCCTCTTACACTCACACTCGTAGTGCACTAATAAGATATGTTTTTTATTAAATCTTCTCTTCCATACTATAGTCACATCATATCCTGTCACTATAGACAAAACAATGATTTTTTTTATTTAACATTTTATACGTTGTAGAGCTATGCTGCAGTTATATTAGTAGTATAGTTGAAGCATGAATGGGTCGGTTCGGCCGGTGAAGGAGCACGCTCTCACAGAATACCAGCGTGAAATAGTAGCTTAATGCTGCTGTGTTTCGTATGGTGAGTGTAGAGAACCGGAGACCCTTTTTACTGGAAATGAGTCATTCCATCTTAGTTCTAACGGGTGACAACGCATTTGCATTTTGATTCATAATCGAGGATAGATGTAGATGTCTATGGGCCACAGCATCCACTTAACATCAGGTGGACTGTGTGCTCGTTTGTCACCCTATCCCATAAAAGAAATATTTATTGATCTCAATCATACATCCTACATTATTATTTATTTATTCTTTTCTTATAACAAAAGAATACAAAAGGCGGACTTAATGTTTTGCAGTATTCTCTACCAGTCAACTCATGAAGTAGTAAGATTGGTGGCATCTATGTCAAAACGTATAGCAACAATATAGAACATAAAAAAGCAACATTAAAATGATAATTAACCATGTAATTACTAACAAATAAACTATACATACATAATATATACAAATATACATATTAATATATGTTAATAGACGGCTCCGTAACGCAGTGACTTAGCAATGAGTTACAGCGTTAATGCCGCGGGTTCGAATCCCGCACGGAACAAGTATTTTTTATTTTATTTGTATGGCCTACAAAATAATTGTTCTGGGTCTGGATGTTTGTCCTTGTGAAATTTGTGTTTGTAAACTACCCCCACGATACAGATATAAAGTTTTATGATATAAAAAAATATATACATATATAATTAATACATAAAAATAACTATGAATATATATGTCATGAATATACATGACATGAATGATTCATGTAGGAAGCAATGTCTTGTCAATGTCTTAAAAGCATACTTACATATCACTCTTCGACTTTTATCATTGTTATATCTAGTAAACACTCAACTCAAACTAAGAATCATTGAATCACTTACCCGTAGATGGTCTGTTCGCTGGTAACACACGAGGTGTACTTGAACGGGATGGGCTGGTAGCCATACGAGCCTGCATATGGCATGTAACCAGGTCCCATCATGCTGTGGATATTAAGTTAATTGTATCAGTAAGCGATTAGTAGAATAGAATTAATAGTAGCTTGATGCTGCTGCATTTCGTACGGTGAGTGTAGAGATCCGGAGACCATTTTAGTAGAAATGAGGCATTCCAACTTAGTCCTCAGGGGTGACAACGCAACTGAGTCTTAGTCGAGGATAGATGTAGATGTCTATGGTCTATGGGCTACATCATCCACTTACCATCAGGTGGACTGTGTGCTCGTTTGTCACCCCTACTCCATAAAAAAAGTAAATAGTATCTACGAGTGATTAATATTTATTTATTTACTTAAATCATTTACTTTTATTTCCCACAGTTGATGACATCCAGCTTTGAGAAACATAGAAATGTTGTGCGGGGGACTGGTGTCCAATCTTGATACACGCCTGGATTATGGAGGCATATACTCATGGTCAAATTTAGAGGAATGCAATAAAAGTTTTATTTTATAGAAGAGGGGGAAACGAGCATGTGGCTCATCTGATGTTAAGTGACTACCGCCGCCCATGATCAACCGCAACACCAGGGGAATTGCAGGTGCGTTGCCGGCCCCTTAGAAACGAGTAAGCTCTTTTCTTGAAGGTCCCCAGGTGTGTATTAAACAAAATATTACGAATATTTGTGACAATTAAATTTATTATTTTGGATTTTGCTTATTACTCATTAATTGCGAACGTCGAAAAACCAAATGAAAGTGATAAAAAGTAACCAAATTAAAAAAAAATTACTTGAAAGAAACATTTATTACATAAAATTTTTCTTCATAAATGCTAAGGAAAGGCTTAAACATGGCTATAATCATTACTAAGTGTTACCACCTCTAGAGCTTCGAACTGTTTATAGTCTCCTTGGCATACTGCTAACTAAGTACATAATCAATAAAATCTTGAGAGATTGCGTTCCAACCTTCCTGTGATGCGTTTCTAAGATCTCTCAAATTAGCAGGTGCAGGATTTCTTTTCTTAATTTATCTTTTAAGCTTATCACATACATGCTCTATGAGGAGCGCGTTTGACAACCCATAGCATTGATTTCAACATCTCTGTTATTCTGTGTCAATTTTGTATCGACAATATCACACATTGCAAACTTGTAGCGCCCTCTGGCATAGAATATGTTATACTGTATGTTTTAGAAAATAAAGTTAGTTCTTGTTGGTAACCCCGGCGTTTAATGTATAAGTCTCGAAGGTATTCGACAACTACGGGTGCGTTATGGGGGTGTGCATTACCCACTCCCAATGACGCGGAGTTGCGTACGTTAAAAATATATAAATAGTTATCCATAACATAACCCTCCGCCATAACGTTTCCAATGATGTTTAAACTGAGCGTACCCTTCCCCAGGCATCTCAATATTTTAATCCTTCCATCATCTAACTTCAGGCAAAATCTGAACTCATCTGCGAATAGAATTTCACTCCAAGATTCGTCATTCTAATTTTGATGATTGCGAGCCAAATTAACTCTAGCTACTCGATGACATGTTGAAAGAATGAGGCCTCTGGCAAGCGAGTGTGAATTTATTCCAGCCGATTTTATGCTTTTTATCACAGCTTTTGTGCTTACTGTAACCCCTCAAACTTCATGGAGCTTCATTGTAACATCAGAAGTTAAGGTCCTGTTTCTGAGCACGCTGGTAACGATGAACCAGTATCTTCGGCCAGTTTTTCGTTTACGTCCCTGTCCAGCGAGTCTCGTATACTGTCTGGTCTACCGATACCTCTTGACAAATTGGTGTACCACCTGTGAATTTTATACTCATAATGTTCGAGCCACGTGTTTGTAGGTGTGCCCAGTTTCAATTAAAACAGACCTAGTAACTTGAGTAACATTAAGATCTGGCATTCTCAGTTAATGGTCAGGCAGTCAAGGCAAAAATTTAAACAAAACCTAAAATTAAATTTAAATTCAAAAGGTACAAATAAATTACGCAGTATAAAAGAACACAACAATAAGCAAAAATTAAATAAAAACAAATGAAATTATAAAACTACGCGGTACGCACGATAGTTACAACAGGAGAAATTAAAACTTGTTTTTATTGCGTTCCTCCCTCAAAATTTGTCCTAGGTGTATATACCACGGATAAATACAATCGTTAAACTATGGAAATACAGATAGTATCGCGCACGCGTGTGTGTGTGTGTGTGTGTGTGTGTGTGTGTGTGTGTGTGTGTGTGTGTGTGTGTGTGTGCGTGTGTGTGTGCGTGTGTGCGTGCGTGAGTGTGTGCTCACTTGGGGTTAGGCAGCGGCGCCAGCGTGTCGCCGGCGAGGCTGTCCCCGTCGCGCAGGCGCAGCGCGGCCAGCTCGCCGCACAGCTCCCCCCCCACCACCCAGTTCGCCAGCCACGTAGTAGCACTGCTCGGAGAACGTGATCTTGTTCACTGTGTGCCGGATCAACCCCGCCTGCACAAGGCAAGCAACAAACTTCAGCACCGAAACACTATGAGGGCTAATAAGGACAATGAACAATATGAATTTAAAAAATTCTTTTAAGGTCATTACTATAATGTTACATAAACTATAAACAGACACTGAGGATTGGCAATTGTTTTAGTTTTGTATGAGCTCCTGATGTAAGATTGTAACTAATCAAAGGACTTTCACAAGTTAAAATGGTGTACACATTACGAATATAACATACAAATAGTCAAAAAGATTTAAATTTATGTTAACTATAAATTAAGAGGGGCGCTTCAAGTTGCACCAAATCGCAGCAGTAAAACGACAACAATTTACTAAATTAAAAAATCAGAATTCCCCCCCCCCCTCAACTGCACACCCAAACATTAACCCATTAAAAACTTATATTTAGAGACTACTTGTCTATAGAAGTTTGGCATATAGGCTCAATTTCTATCCCATAATGCAAAAAAAAGAAATTTTTTATTTATAATCTATTATGTTCGTTTCGTACGCGTATTTCGTGTGACGTGTTATTGTGTTGATTTTTGGATTTTTGTAATGTTTTATTAGTGTTTAGTATAGTGTTTTAAATAATTTCGAGTAATATATAGAAATAATTGTGATATTCAAGATGCTGTCCTGTACTGGGTACGTAAATTAATTTTTAACTACAATTAAAATCTATTTGTAATGAATTAAAAGTACTAAAACAAGTAGTATAACATAATAAATAAACAGAAACAAGTATTATATTCAAATTTATAATGATTATTAGTGGAAATTAATGTACGACAAATTCAATCTTAGATTATTTTTAGAGACGCCGCGCCACGCGAAGCAAGCGCGCGTTGTTAATCATTTTTAGCTGGGCCTGAGGGGTTAAAGTCCACTGAAACATAACCTTCCCTCATAGATTTCCTCACAGAAGAAACGACCTCACAGAGTTTTCAGAGAATTTTCATTTTTTCACAATTCAGAATTTTCAGAGCTCAAAGAAGTTTCCACGCTTAGCTGTTTGCTTGTTGTTCGCAGGACGCCGCTGCCCATCTCCAGGTTTGTTTCCAGCTAATAGCCAAAGCTAATGCCATCAAAAACATAACTTGTAAAAAAAAACTAAGTCTTGCAAGTCAGTTCTTCTACCGTAAAAAGTTGTGAGATACATGTAATACTAAGTCGGTTAACTTATTCCGTTCCTACTTAACGGTCCTTCCGTCTTAAGTTATTACGTAATCTCTCAAAATCCACTAAATATATCAGTAAAATAGAGATTGACTCCATCCATATAATGATCTCAGGAGAATTACATGAGATGGTACTTACAGAAGGACCCTTCCCAGGTATTACATGTATTTTACCACTATTTATTGTAGAAGAACTGAGTTGCGAGACTTGGTTTTTTTTAAAAGTTATGTTTTGATGGCATCTCATTTCTTTTTTGTAGATAGTCTTACTTTTTCCCTTTCCGGGGAAAACCTTCTACTTCTTGAATACTAACAACGTATCTATCTACATCTATTATACATACAGGTACACTGATTCATTCACTACAAATGTAACTTTGTAATCCTATATATTTATATGGGATTACGAGTTATTTATACAGTTGGTGTATCTAGAAAACTGGACCGAAATTAAAAATATTTTATTTTTTCCTTGATTTATACACTAAACTCTAATTGTGTTCTAAATTTGAAGCTTCTATATCTGCTAGAAGTGCCTTAGAGTTTTAATGATCGGTCAGTCAGTGAATGACAAAATTACGAAACTTTGACTAGTTATAATTCTTAATCTACTGGCTCAAATTGAATGAAATTTGAAATATACCATGTTTATACAATGCATACTCGGTTACTGAAAATTCAGGCTCCTAGTTCTATTCACAACGAAGTTATAGTTATAGCGGGTCGAAAATATCCCGAACTGCTTCGAGAAAAGTATGGTACGGTCGTGCCGCTTTTTTGCTCGACTTGGCTGGGGCGCTGCCGTGCCCCCAGATGTAATTATTCCTGACTTTATATTCCTGGTTAGGCGTTACAAATAAAAAAGTAAGGAAATAGGACGAGAAATATTATTTTAGTGAAACAGATGGGGTAAGAAAGGATCTCAAGTGGCAGCCTCGTACTGATATATAATAATAATAATAAAAATGTTTTATTTCAGTAAATCATTTTACAGCTATTTGCCGAGGCCTCCCAGAAAGTAATCATAAGATACTTGTGTTGGGAGAGTCTCGCTCATCCTACGTAATCGTATCAACTTAGATTTACATCAGAAAAAAAAATATATAAACATTTTAAACTTAATATTACAGTTATTCATGCATTTTAAAATGAAAGAAAGAAGCTTAGGAGAAATGTATACCTGAGTAGTTGTGTCCGTTGTTAGTTTATTGTGTGTGTGTGTGTGTGTGTGTGTGTGTGTGTGTGTGTGTGTGTGTGTGTGTGTGTGTGCGCGCGCGCGTGTGTGTGTGTGTGCGCGCGCCCGCGTGTGTGTGTCTGATTTGTTGTGTCAGTGTGTTATTTAAAACTGGTTCATCTCTTTCTGACCAAAATGTTTTCCAAATCATCATAATTAAGAGTATAGAGCCACTCGGTCAGAGTTTTTCTACACTCAAACATTTGCATCGGGTAAATTTTAAGTAAGCGGTTGATCTTGTTATAGGCATGAGGAGCTTGAGATATATTTTGTCGAGTGGCAAATACTGTACGTGCAGGGTATGAAGGAGCCACGATATCGCACCGCCTTTTCGTAAGTTTGTAAAATATAAAGTTTTCTAACGGAGAGCAGCTTAGATGTTTGGTATAGGGTTTCGGTGGAAAACCTATAGGGCCTACAGTACATTACCTTAATCAAGGATCTTTGCGCCCTTTCTAAATCTATAAAGTATGATTTAGCTGCTCCTCCCCATACGGATATGCAGTAGATTATTACAGACTGGGCTAGTGCGATATATATTTTATTCAGTAGCTTGGTACTCATCACGTTTCTCAGAGATTTGAAAACCCACATGAGCTTCCTTACCCTCCCAAATGTTAGTTCTAGGTGTGGATACCAACTTAATCTTTGATCCACCATGATTCCGAGGTATTTAACACAACTAACTTTCTGAATTACAGGGCAATTACATGTGTTAGGGAAAGGCGTACCACAGGAATGAATTTTTATTTCAAAATTAGGTGACGGCTGCGAATTAATATATGGAGCGAAGCATACATAATAAGTTTTTTGAGTGTTAAGAGTAAGGAGATTCTCACTTAACCAGTGCCAAACTCTGCCTAGTCCCATCTCAGCCCCCATCCTAATTTTATCCCAGGTCTTAGCGGTGAAAATAATAGCGGTATCGTCCGCATAGGACAGTATCCTCCCTCCAACGTTACCAAGGTTACAGAGATTATTAATATATATCAAAAAGAGGGTTGGGCCGAGAACACTGCCCTGCGGTACACCAAACGTTACATTTTCTTCTTCACTTATTAGTTTATTTATTTTTACACCCTGCTTTCTGTTTTGAAGGTAGCTGCTGAGAAAGGAGAGAGCAGATTCTCGAAATCCGATACTTTCTAGCCTTCGTATAAGAATGGGGACAGAAACGGTATCAAAGGCCTTCTTGAGGTCAAGAAAGGTCACTAAACATTTGTTACCTTTGTCTACTTCTTTTGTTATAATGGATGTAAGATCTGTGATAGCATCCTGTGTCGACATTCCCTTCCTAAAACCATATTAAGAAGTAGATAGGATGTTATACTTAGTCAAGTAGCTCACTATTCTAGAGTTCAAGAGCTTCTCAATGATTTTAGAAATGGAGGCCAACACAGAGATAGGTCGATAGTTGTTTACGTCGTCCCTCTCTCCACTCTTATACACAGGGGTCACGATGGAGCGCTTAAGAAGGTATGGGAAGTTTCCTGTGCGAAAACACAGGTTAGCAAGTTCGGTAATCAAAGGGACAAGGATATCCTTACTTCGTTTTAGAAAAAAGTAGGGATTCCGTCCCAACCTGGTGCACTCCCAGAGTCCAAGGACATTAAGGTATTTTCCACTTCCTTGCAAGATATTTCTAGTAAAACAAAAGAGGAATGATGATGGTTATCAGAGTTAGTAGTTTCCGAAGTTGTGAAGCTATTTGAGATATTCTCAGCTAGTGTTTGCCCAATGTTGACAAAGAATTTGTTTACATGGTTGATTGAGGTTTGCGGACAAGATTTTATATTAAGTAGGTCGTCATTTGGGCTCTTGGGTGGCTTATAGTGGGTGATTTCTTTAATGGTTAACCAAAGAGCTCGAGTAACATATATATGTAACATATCTATGATATATTACATTATCCCAATATTGGCTCTGGTAAAATTCATTTTATTCGTCAAATTACTATATTTAACTCCTCAATTCCAATAAAAATTCCATGCATTCACATGCGCCCGACAAATCCCGAGCGGTCGCATGCGACCGCACCCACCCGCAGCACTTAAAACCATTAAAAATCACAATTATTTCAATATATATTACTCGAAATTATTTACGTAAAAAGATAAATTATTATGGTGAGCGCGGTCGAATCCGACCGCTTGGATTTTGACGGAATAGCGCCGTGGATTCGACCGCTTGGGGAGTAAGGAGTTAAGACCAGAAAAAAATATATGTCATAAATAAATCCTTTATTGAGTGATATTAAAGGTTCAAAACACGATACATTGTACTTTGCTCGATCAAAATAAAATCCGAAACAGTGGTGATTTTAATACCTATTTTCATTTTACATCGCAATTACAGCACGAAATTATATTAAAATTACATTTATTTAAAGGTAACCATATTATAAAATCATTTTAAAGGATATTTTTATGAAAATCAAATAGTTTTGTTAAAAATTAAAATAGTAAAACGACTTACACGGTGACGCGCGATTTGCGCATATAGTTAAAGTACGTTTACACCAAAACCGATTTTGTCGGCCGATGGCGGACAGAACTAATCAGACGAGTAACTCGGACGTGTATGTGCTTACACTGCAACAGTGTACCACTTGTGGCTTGTGCCGACATTGGACGTTGCCGGTATTCTTTTCTATTTTTCTATTTCTAATATCCACAGTCGTTTAGGTAGGTAACAGCACTGACAGAAACAACAGAATAAAGACAAAATTATTAAATTAAACTATAAATATACGTATACAGTGCAAATTGAGTGTATATTTATATATATGTATAAATATACACTCAATTTGCACTGTAGACGCCGGCAGTCGGACGAGAAATCTCAACAAGTTCGGACTCGACGGTTTATTGGCCGTTTTCATGCGTTATCGGACGATGACGGTCGTGTTTGTGTTCGCGCTCTCTTTGTTTTACAAGTGTTTGATTCGATCGTCCGAGTTCGGCGTCATCGCCCGACCAAACTTCGGCCGATGACGGATTAGATGTACGCGAAGCGTTAGAGTCCAGCCGGCCGGTGTTAAGGTTGGACCCATGTCAAGTTTTTTTTTAGATACGCTCCCCGCGTTTATGATAAAAGGCATATAAAAAATCAAAATTAAAAAAACATCTGGTTACCACAGTAACATAATTATTCTAACATCAATATGACCATTATTGCTTCCAAAAATGTATTTCTATGAAGATTTTGTAACAGTACGACAATTATGTGTAGTCGAAGATGTATCGAAGTTATTTTAATATCTATGTAAACAAAAAACTGACTTTATTGTTAGTGCATACATATAGTGCATCAACACCGCACTCTGATGTACCTTCACACAAAAATGCACAGAGCAGTAATGCTGAGATCTATAGACCGTACTTTGACTTTGCTCACACTTCGCTTAGGAAAATCTTAGCTGAGTATATGCTTAGCATAATCTTTGATTCCGAATTTATAGTTGTATCGGGCTGAGATTAAGCTAAGCATATGCTAAGGTTCACATTTTCAGATTCAATTAAGCATATATGGTTTCTTTTGTACTCTTTTTGTTTTACTCTTATCGTATATTTTACTTTAGACAAAAATTAAACAGAAATAAAAATAAAACCGTCAAAAAAAAAAAACGACGCGTGACGCTAAAATCCCAGCACATGGGAATAAAGAAACATGAAACGTCAAACGTGATATAATTTTTTTTAAATGGTATAATTTTATTTTCCATCTACATTATTTTTGAGAGTCTGAATCCAACCCTGGCCTAATCTTGGTAACGTAACTAAACTAACTGTAAAATAAAACTTTAAAAATGCGTTTATATAATAATTTAATTGTAATAAAATTAATTGCCGTGTAGTGGCGGTTAAGAATATCCACTACCCCATATCCTCCCGTGGGTGTCGTAAGAGGCGACAGAGGGAGACAGGCAGGAGATGGGCAGCAGCATCTTCCTGATAACAGTAACTGTACGACAAAAAAAAACTGCGGTTGCCAACCCGCTCGCCAAGCGTGGCAACTATGGCAAATACCCCCCATGAACAATTACACAAATAGACGGCCCCCAGTCCCCGGCGGCCCCGCTATTCCTGGCTACGGTGGCGACCATGGTAACGGCGGGGCAGGGGGTGCTAAGAATCTCCGGTGGAGGTTCGGTTGCCACCTACGACGACTCGACCTGGCAACATTTAACGCACGCACACTGAGGACTGACGAGAAGATCCTGGAGCTGGAAGAAGAGATAGACAAGTTGCGCTGGAGTATTATAGGATTATCCGAGGTCCGAAGAGAGGGGGAGGACACGGTGATTCTCGAATCCGGCAACTTGTTCTATCACCGGGAGGGCGACCATCTGTCCCAAGGAGGTGTCGGATTTATCGTCCACAAGTCTCTCGTCAACAACGTTGTACAGATTGAGAGTGTGTCGACGAGGGTCGCGTACCTGATACTCAGAATCACCAAACGGTATTCGCTGAAGGTCATACAGGTTTACGCACCAACGTCGGCACATTCCGATGAGGAGGTGGAGGAAATGTATGAGGATATTTCCAAAGCCATACATTCCTCCAAAACCCACTACACGGTGTTGATGGGAGACTTCAACGCAAAACTAGGCACAAGAGAAAGCGGTGAGCTGAAGTTAGGGAAATTTGGAGTAGGGCAACGGAACCGAAGGGGCCAGCAGCTGGCCGACTTTATGGAGAAAGAGGGACTCTTTATGATGAACTCTTTCTTCCAGAAGCGGCCCCACAGGAAGTGGACCTGGTCGAGCCCCGACGGTTCGACAAAAAATGAGATTGACTTCATTATGACGACCAGACGCCAACTGTTCAGTGATGTCTCAGTGATCGCAAGGGTGAAAACTGGCAGCGATCACCGAATGGTTAGAGACACACTGAACCTAAACGTTAAGTTGGAGAGGTCTCGTCTAATGAAGTCAACGCTCCGTCCCCCCTCGTGCTCTGATCCAAAATCCCGAAAACTTTCAGCTCGAGTTACACAACCGCTTTCAGTGCCTACAAGATTGCAATGCAGTGGACGATATGAATGACAAGCTCGTGGAAACTGTCCATGCGGTCGGAGCTAAGTTCTGCAAGACCCGCCGCAGAAGAACACAAAAACTCTCCGATCACACTCTTAATCTCATGGCTGTTAGACGGGAGATGAGGCTGCAATCGTCAACAGATTTGACAGCATACAGGCAACTGAACAGACAGATCTCCAAATGCATGCGGCGAGACTTACGCAACTTTAATACTGCTCGTATTAAAGAAGCGATCGAGCGGAACCAGGGCTCCAAAGTCTTTGCCAGAGATCTATCTGCCAGAAAGAGCCAACTGTCAAGGCTGAAGACTGAGTGTGGCAGCATCGTTTCCGGGACACCTGAGATTTTGAGTGAGATTGAGAGGTTCTATGGGCAGCTGTACACATCATCGTTGGAGCCACACGCAAGTGTGAGTAACGATCCAAGAGCAAGTCTTATCCGACACTATTCCGATGATATCCCGGACGTCAGTCTAAGCGAGATTAGAATGGCTCTCCAGCACCTTAAAAACGGCAGGGCCCCAGGCGAGGATGGAATTACAGCGGAGCTTCTGAAAGCGGGTGGAACACCGGTACTTGAAGTCCTTCAGAAGCTCTTCAATTCCGTCCTCCATGGTGGCACTACTCCGGAGGCGTGGAGCAGAAGTGCGGTGGTCTTGTTCTTTAAGAAAGGCGACAACGCTCTCTTGAAGAACTACAGACCGATTTCCCTTCTGAGCCGCGTCTACGTGCTGTTTTCGAGAGTCATTACGAATCGTCTCGCACGCAGACTCGACGACTTCCAGCCTCCCGAACAAGCCGGTTTCCGAAAAGGCTTCAGTACCATAGACCACATACATACCCTGCGGCAGATTGTACAGAAGACTGAAGAGTACAATTTGCCACTTTGCCTGGCGTATGTGGACTATGAGAAAGCCTTTGATTCCGTCGAAATTTGGGCGGTGCTGCAGTCCCTTCAGCGGTGCCAAGTTGACTGTCGGTATATTGAAGTGCTGAAGTGTTTGTACAGTAGGGCTACGATGGCTATCCGAGTACAGAACCAGAGCTCGAAACCTATCCAACTGCAGAGAGGTGTAAGACAGGGTGACGTTATATCCCCGAAACTCTTCACCGCTGCTTTGGAAGACGTTTTCAAGCTACTGGACTGGAAAGGATACGGTATTAACATCAATGGCGAGTACATCACTCACCTTCGATTTGCCGACGATATAGTCCTTATGGCAGAATCGCTGGAGGACTTAAGCACTATGCTCAATGACCTCAATAGTGCCTCCCAACGGATAGGTCTTAAGATGAACATGGACAAAACAAAGATTATGTTTAATGTCCATGTCACACCTATGCCGGTAGTTGTTGGGAGCACTATGCTCGAAGTTGTTGACGAGTACGTTTACCTGGGACAAATAGTCCGACTAGGTAAGTCCAACTTCGACCGAGAGGTCAATCGACGGATTCAACTCGGCTGGGCAGCGTTCGGGGAAATTACGACATATCTTCTCGTCAGGTATACCTCAATCTCTGAAAACTAAAGTGTACAACCAGTGCGTGTTGCCAGTGATGACTTACGGATCAGAGACGTGGTCCTTCACTGCTGGCCGTATGAGGACGCTCAAGGTCGCTCAGCGAGCTATGGAGAGGGCTATGCTCGGAGTTTCTCTGCGTGATAGACTCAGAAATGAGGATATCCGCAGTAAAACCAGATTGACCGACATAGCCCAACGGATTAGTAAGCTGAAGTGGCAATGGGCCGGCCATATAGCTCGAAGAACCGATAACCGATGGGGAAGAAAGGTTCTCGAGTGGCAGCCTCGTACCGGTAGGCGTAGTGTAGGGCGACCCCCCACTAGATGGAGTGACGACCTGGTAAGATATGCAGGAAGTCGATGGATGCAGGTGGCTCAGGACCGTGTTTTGTGGCATTACTTGGGGGAGGCCTATGTTCAGCAGTGGACTTGTGAAGGGCTGTGATGATGATGATGATGAATAAAATTAATATAAGGTTATTTACCGATGATAAGATAACCCATGTTCTTTTTTAAATCTTTGTATCGTAATTTTTGCATTCTTTTACCACGCAACTAGACATATTTATGACAGGCAAATCTGTCCTGCGCGCGCATCACTGTCGACCGATTCGCGTTGGCCCTAAACTGTAACTTTAGGGCCAGCGCATTGGTCCGTTTTAGTTGCTCGGTGGGCCCGGTCCTTACGCTAGTAATATATAAGTCAATGCACCTCGGCTAATGCAGAGATTTTTAGATTTTTTTTTGAAAAATAAACATTTCTATGCGCTTGAATACTGATTCTGATAACGCAGTGAACGGGAACCACAGGGCTTTTGTTACATGTTGTATATTGCATATACAAATCATAGGCGTACACCTACATTATTAAACATACATACTTTGTTTTGCTACTATCGATTACTTTGTCAATCAACAAAGGTGTAAATTGTCAGTTTGACTTTGTGATTTTTTTTTCAGAGATGGAACAAGTTCGACGTAACTTTAAAGTTGATGTACATAAAAAGTCAATGTTTAACACTAGATCCTCTAGCATTGAAAGCCGACCTATTGATTATGGTTGATAGTAATTTTCTAAGTATCGATATGATTTCATCTTTATGGCCGAAAAATACTAGGTTGATCAAAAAGTTTCCGGAATAAGGCACTTATCAATGAGTTATAGAAATATATTTTATTTTTTCGAATCTTAAATTCTTCAGTATTGGCCAGATGGAACTAAATTAAAAACTATACCCAGCTTTTTTTAAATTCACATTTGGTGGGAATTTAATTCTTATGCAAAATAGAGAAACTGGAACAGTTGCGCCGAATTTAAACGTGGCGGAACCTCCTGCAATGTCGACACGAGCTCCGCGCGCCCACGAACAACCGTTACGCAACGAAATGTTAAAAAATCGAAGAAATTGTTAAGAAAGATCGACGTGTGATCGTTCGTTTTTAGCCGAGATTCTATGGCTTTCGTTTGAGAAAGTTCACTTTACATTAACTCGTACCTTAAAGTTTAAAAGGAGGCTGCATGCTGGGTTCCTTGAATGTTAACAGACGCCCGAATGTAAAAAAAAGCAAGAAAATCGCAGGAAATAAATCTAACAATGATTTTTGCTGCGACTTTTGATTTTTTTTCTCCACCGGGTCTTAGCACACGTCCACTTGACTTAGAGTTGTTGAATCGATACCTACATCCAATTTCTCTTACATAGAACGAGGGCGCCACTTAATCCAGTTAAAATGAGATATTTAATTTGGACTTTGATAACGTTATTTCTTTTTCTCATGAGGCGTGCACTTTTAGATTTTCCAAACTATTCCATTCGACTGTTAGTAAAGGTCATTTTTGTAGATAAATATAAAATTATTATTATCTTGATTATAGCTCCATACTTCAGAACCTTGAACGAATTAACCACTGGACCCGACATATAAGCGGACGTACCTACCTATACCGGTCTTGTCAGTAACCACGAAATTCCAGCCTTGGTCGTTTGTTTTTGCGTCAGTCTCAAGCACTTACTTGTCAACAAAACAGCTCCCAAAAATGACTAAATGTTCAGTTAAATGGTGAAAAACTACAGCGGCGGAAGCAGCACTACTTCTTTTCACTTGTAAGTACATTATTTTATTACATTTACTGTTATTTATCACAAAATTTAATCAAATGAAAAATAAAATTTTGTATTATCCAACTATGTTAAATATAGTCAATATTTCTAATTTTCTATGTATTGTTGACATCTGACAACCATCACAAAATGGCTGGATTGCCATTCAGAATGAATGACTAAAACTGTGGAGTAAGTCAATTTAACATCGACTATTGCTTGACCATGTGGAAAAATTTATCGATATTTGATGATATGACAGAATGAATGATGATGTTATTTGTACAATACAATAACACTTAAAATACTTATATTACAGTATCCTAAAATCTGATGTCATTACATTTATAATAATAATTTTTATAATTAAATGAAAATATTATAAATTCAAAAAATATAAATTACACGAATTTTCAGATTTCCTAGCGACCCTTCTCGGAAAAGAAAGTGGGTAGAAGCAGTTAGTAGGGATGAAACCTGGATTCCGACGAAACACAGCGCCATATGCAGTGTACATTTCGATACTGCCTGTTTTAATACTAATGCAAAGAAACACAAAATGACACCAAAGAAGGCAGTCTCATTGCTCATAAAGACAAGGGAAAACTGATACTTCCCTCAACTGATACCATAGCTATTTGTTAACACTGCGAACTCGAACTTAGGAAGGGTGTTTAGATTAAAAGACTAAAAAAGATTAAACAACAGACTTTCTTCTGCCTAAACATTGCTGCAACTTCAGTTGTACGAAAACATTCATTATCATAAATTTGAAAACGACGACGTGAATCACATCGAAGAATTAACGAAAGCCGTTGCTGAAAAATATTTAAATATTAGAATTGCTTATATAAGACTACAAGCGAATAAAACAAATTCTAAGAAACACATTTTAAGAAAGATGATACATAATAAAAGTCAGTAAACCTATTTAAATAATTTAAACTTAACAATGTCCATAACAATGTCCTGCTTCTTTTATATTAATTAAAATTTAAATACCGTAATCTTACCTCACCTTCATTATCCCTTTATTTCCTTTGTCTTACAACTTATTTAAGATACGCCTTTTCTTTCTCATTTGTTCATCGATATATTTTATCGACTACGATCAAGCACTAGAAATAGAGTGAACTTCTACGAATTTTGTATCTGTGTTTATATTAACGTAATAAAATCTTCGTGCGCGTTATTCTCCACTGGGTTGAACGAGTTTTCATACATTTGTGTTTTATGTCGAGGCCAGTGGTTAATTTGTTCAAGTTCAGAACATACCATAGATATGGAAGGACATTGACTCGACAAAATAATTATATTGTGTGAAATATGATCAGTCACAATTACTTTTCAAAAGTTACGTGAGCACAAATTAATACACCCAATCCGATCTAGAAGGAACACATTTGTACCCCACAACCTTCACGTGAATAAGTGATTGAGTGAACGATCGACCGAGTGGGTAAGCGATAGAGTTAATGAGTGTACGAGAGAGAGCGAGCGCGTGATTTAATGAGTGATCGAGTCTGTTAATAAATGTGCGAACCCGTGAGTGAGTGAGCAAACGTTTGAGTGTGTGAGCAAAAGATTGAGTGAGTAAGCATAATATTGTGTGAGTGAGCGAGAATGCGAAAGTAAATGAGCGCATGATTTAGTGAATAAGTGAGCGGTCGCGCAAGTGTGCTAATAGGTGAGTTGGTACGCAAATGATTGAGTGAGTGAGCGAGCAAGTACCTTGAGCATGTGCGAGGCGTACTTGCGCGCGTCTCGCCTGTCTGCTATGCCTGCCACGTGCTGCAGGATCCAGTCCACCACGTCCGCACCGATGAACGCGTTGGGGATCGTGATCTTTAGCCACATCCGGTCCCTGATCTCCAGACCTTCGAATACAACAATTGCACAGTTAGAATTTGTTCTCTTTGAGCTTTTAGTAAAGACTCCCTTAGAGGTATTTGGGTTGACGATCGAGATGGAAGTTCCACTGTCTATTTTACGAATTGTTAGTGTAAAAAAGTATTATTTTCAGAGATGACTACTGATCTAGATAAACATGGAAAGTAAAACATTATATAAATACAAAAATTTACCAATTATACACCTATATGGGTGGGTCAAAAATTTCGCGGAATGGAGGTGTTAGAGAGGGGAGGGGGGATTTTTTTTGCTGTCACTACTTAGTGACTTAATACAACTATAGATGCCAAGTTTCAGCCCGACCGATCCTGCGCCCCCTTTTCCCCAAGGAGAAACGATACGACAGGAAACGAAACGTATCCGATACGGCAAAAAGGCCCTTCAGGCCCAAGCCAGTCTCAGGTGGTGTTTAGTGGGTAAGCACTTAGGTGTTTTCAGTGAGTCGCACATAACCACACTGCCGGCTGCGTGTTGTGCTGAGAGCGTTCACCAGCTCCCTCCCCCGCTTCCGGGAGGGTAGCAACAGACCGATCACTAACCGTTGAGATATCACAAGATAATCGGGAAGTGAACACTAACTACAGAGAAAATGATGTTTTGTACCTTGATTAAGTTCCTCACTAAGCAAGGGAAAACGCCACATATCACTAAGGAAGAAATGTCAACTGTTTACGGCGACTTTTGCCCCGGAAAAACGATGATTTATAAGTGACAGGATTTTTAAGCAAGGCAGACTCAATTGAAGACGGTCAGCGCTTAAGCCGATCGATTGAGGCAACTTTCTAAGATATTGTCGAAAAAGTTGAAAACCTCATTCTTGAAAATGGTCGTCTGAAGAAAAAACAGATCGTAGTAATGACTGGAGTAACATCTGAGACTACTTAAACATTCTCCAAGACCATCTTGGCATGTCTAACAGCCTGGCCACGGGACATTCGCTGTAGCGAAAATTCGCGCGGCGCGAACGGCGAGGCGTCTAGCGACTAAAACAAATGTATAGAAATGTATGGAGCATGCCACGCATAGCGGCGAGTGGCGACGCGACCGGCAAAATTTACCGGGCGAATCGCGCGGGCACGGCGCGCGGGCGAATGAAACAAATGTATGAATCAGTACGGTGCAAGCCACGGAGTCGGGCGGCAGACGCGGCGAAAACCGGCGAATAGTATAGGGAACAAAATATTTTAGTTGTTTTCGCCGCAAAAAATGCCGGGCCGACAAAAACAACTTAAAATTCTATCCGCATTGACTTTTATTTCCAATTCTGGTTGAATATTAACAAGAACACAACCGCAGGTTTCGACACTCATTCTGGTATTTACTAGAATTTTTTTGTAAATGAATTCTATTTGTTGTGGAATTCTCCATCTATAACCCGATTCCTATTCAAATCATGTACTCCGCAATCTCTTCCAAATATTATATCTTGAATCAAAAAACAATTAATTTCTAAGCAATATCGAGATAACTTTGATAAAGACATTTCACTCTCGGCCTATCTGGTCGCGGCGGCAGACGTGACTTCCCGTGGCCCACAAATCGCGCCGCGCGAATTGTCGCCCCGCCTGTCGCTTCGCCGTTCCCCGTGGCCAGGCCGTAAGGTCAGTGCAAGATGGCTGCTAAGAATGCTCGCACCGCTTCAGAAATAGCAACGGGTCAAGTGTTCGCGCTTGTTCGACTACGTAGTGAGAACAGGGACGAAATTATGAACCAAATTGTGAATGGGAATCAAACTTGGCTTCATCACTGTGAACCTGAGGCAAAACAGGAGTCCACGCAGTGACGTAAAAAGGCGCAGCACCGCGTTGTTACAATCCAGGCGATGGTAACACCTTGAGCTTCTTCAACGTGTTAAAATCGTGTGAAAAGACTATGGCTTGAGTTTTTTGGGATTCAGAGGAGATGAAAAAAAAGAAGGGAATGGTTTCGAGGTTTGCTTCTTATGCAGGACAATCCACCACAGAGTCATGCTGCGCTTCCTTACACAAGTGCGGTTTCAAAACTTAAACCACCCAATGGCGCAGACTAGGCCCCTTCGGATTAATATTTGCTCCCGAAAATGAAAAGAGCTTTACAGATGACAAAGAAGTGCAGTCACCAATTTCAGCCTATTTCGAAGGCCTTGACAAAATAATATTTTTTTCGAAGATATAATTTAAGAGTGGGCGTTGCGACGACAAACTGTTTACAAAGACCGTTTTGTGTTCTGCGACGATGAAACCGTTTTACATCCTGGGTTCAAACAGTCTCCGTTGCACAAACCGGTCTTCGAATTACTTGGTGCGATTTTTTATTTTCATCATCATCATCATCATCATTACAGGCCTTCACAAGTCCACTGCTGAACATAGGCCTCCCCCAAGTAACGCCACAAAGCAAAGTCCTGAGCCACCTGCATCCATCGACTTCCTGCATGTCTTACCAGGTCGTCACTCCATCTAGTGGGGTGTCGCCCTACACTACGCCTACCGGTACGAGGCTGCCACTCGAGAACCTTTCTTCCTCATCGCTTATCGGTTCTTCGAGTTATATGGCCGGCCCATTGCCACTTCAGTTTACTAATCCGTTGAGCTATGTCGGTCACTCTGGTTTTACTGTGGATATGTTCATTTCTGAGTCTATCACGTAGAGAAGATTTTTTATTTTACGCCTATGAAAATATAGTCGAAAATGCAATGATTCAGCTATCTATCGCACTCGTCGCGTCGTCGTCCTTAAAGTTCCGCGTTCTATTGTAGCGCGTTCATTTATAAATGTAGACAGAAACTAAGCAGTCCTTGCAATAAAAAGTGAACTTTTTTATCAATGAATTACAGTCGCTAATGTTAATGGTAATGCTAAGTCTGCCCCAGCCAGTCCTAAGCCTGGAAAAGTATGAAGGGAAGTTCATTTCGTCGTTAAGTAAAGTTGATCGATAAAACGAACTATTTAGTAAACATTTCAAATCGTAGAAAGTTATAAGAAACTGCAAACATTTCACTCGACGAAAACGCAATTCTATTCCATGTTGGATAAGTTTCGCCCGTCTTTAAGCAATCTTCAAACTGGTGCAACGACGATCGTTTTCTGCAACCTTTTTCGTCATCGGCAAAACTGTTGCTTTTCGTTCGTCAACAATTCGACTACGACGCACCACTAGTATAAATAAGTTATTTGAGCAGTCTGTAGTACTTACGTTGTACCAGTTCTGGTATCCGGTGAAGGCCTCCACATCATCTCCACGTCATTAGTTTAGTTTTAAAATACTTTTTAAAACTAAACTAATGACGGTGAAGGTGGTGAAGGTGAAGGTAATTAGAGTAGTTAAAAAATACTTTTTTAACAATGACAGTCATTAGTTGATCATTAGTGAATGTGATTCTGTTTACTTAAATTACAGGAAGACAAGAGCAGAAGGAAGAAATGGGATGATGGGAAGTAATGAAGCATTGTTATGTGAAGTTTGTTGGAACAAACATATATTTAGTCACGTGTAAATACTTTTAACATTTTGGTTCAAAATGACACAAAATCTAAAAAATATTTGATACATCATCGACATGGACGGATTTTACATTACATATCCTCATAAACATTTTTAATGTAGAGAAATGCCTATTCTAGACGTAAAACTATCTAATAAAAATGATGCGTTTATCGATCATTATTTGTTTCGGCCAAGTTATCCTTTCAATTATTTGCCGTCAAAAGACAAAAAAACTGTTCGTTATTGTGAAACACACGTACGTTTTGTATAACACAAAATAATGCAATTTAATATGTATTTAGAAATCACTATAATTAATCATTCCTATGTTAGTCATTGAGTAGATTGTACTGTAAGAATCTACTAATAACAGTAATATCATGGATACACTAGATGTACAACAATACTGGAAAAGTTTCACCCCACTCTAAAAAATAATGTTTATGCTGTCAATAAACTGCCCATGTACACCCACGTACCAACGCATATAATATGTAATTTGGATACAGATGATAAACCAGGGTCACATTGGGTAGCTTTATATATCGATACGAATGACGTCGGTCAATATTTTGATTCATTCGGACGAGCACCTGTACGATATCATCTAGAGTTTTTAAAAAGAAATTGTAAAAGATGGAACTGGAATGTTGATAGGATTCAGAATGAGTGGACTTCAGTTTGTGGCGAATATTGCTTAATGTATTTGCTATATAAGTTTCAGGGATGTTCAATGCATAGTTTTACGAGTATATTTACAGGGAACACATTGTACAACGATATTTGTACAAAGTGGATGAGATGTTTCGCTCCTATTTTATAGATAATAAGTAATAAGATTTTGTATTTTGTAAATAAAAATTTTTACAATTTTTAAATTTAATTACGTAATGTGTTTTATTGATGAGTCAGATTAGTGTAGATAGGAACAAAGGAGTATAATACAATAGCACAACACTGAGGAAGAATAGATAATGACGGTATTCAATGAACAATAGATAAATAGATAAGAACAATGGAGCGCTAATGACGGTGGAGGCCTTCACCGGATATCAATTAGATAAGAGTTAATTGATCTGCACATCTCCGGAACCGTGCATCCTACGCAAAAATGGACCGCAGATTCGTGATCAGAGCATGCCAAAACCTTTTTTTACGGTCGTGAGTAGACGGACGTCGTACTTGTACCACTTCTGACTCAGTGAGCCAGAACTGGTAACTACTGTCTGTGAACTATATTACTGTTAAAGGAGAATATATCACAATAAGGAAAAATAAATTAATGTTTAATTTCCACTCCCTTTCCCTTTCATTCCGCTAAGTTTTTGGCCTCCCCTCGTATTATACAAAAACTCTTATTTAAAGTATAGGATAAGTTGTGTGTGTGGACTGCATGCGTAAGGTTATCACCGGGTATCAGTGTGTCATTCCGTACGCCAGTGTGTCACTGACGTGTGAGTGTTAACGCGTGTGTCAGTATGTCACTGTCCATATGTATGTATTAGACAGTGCGTGACTGCGTACGCTTGAGTGTCACTACGTGAGTGTTACTGCGAGCATTAGTGTGTCACTGCGTGTTTGAGTATGTCATATGCGTTAGCGTCTCGCTTCAGTGTCACCGTGTCACTGTATCAGTGTGTGTCTCAGGTTACCGCTGTCAGGTCGCAGCATGGCGCGCACGACGAGCGCCATGTCCATGGCGACGGAGAGCTGCGGCGGCTCGGGAGCCCCCGGCTCTGAAGTGGGGACTCCGCCCCCCGCGCTGCTGGGAGGCGGATACGCCTCACGCAGAGCCTGCGTGTGCGCCACCCATGCACCTGCAATGCACCACTTCACTGTACCACACTGACACTTTTTATAAATATGTCACCCCCTCCACCCTCAACACACAAAAAATTTCTAGAATACATTTTATTTTGCGTAGAATAAGGGCTTATATTGAATTTACTTTAGCCTTAATATAAGTAAAAAGATCTCTGGTCCACTAAACACATCACACACTCATTGTATTTAATAGCATTTACCGGCGGTGGTGTTAATCGCGATTAAGCGTGAGTTTACCTCTGTTGAAATAACCGAGCGGCAATCGTCTGCCAAACACATTTGGGTGAACAAAATTTTTTTTAAAAGAATAATAACCAATGTCGTATACTTACTTGTTTACTTATGTAAAAAAAATTGTGGTAACTAATTACACTTACAATTACGTAATTTTTGTGACATACTTATGAACATTACGTTATCTCATCCTATGACAAATGGGAGACGAGCCCAGATAATCCGGAGGCGACAGCTACTAGCTATATGGGTGATCTTCATGATTTATTTATTAACATTGAATTATTTAGGACTAAGATAATACAATTGTGTATATGTATAATGTGATTGTAAATTTTGTGTTGAGCAATTCTGACACATTTGCATGCGCCCCCCTTGTTCCGGAAGTTGCTCATTACAAAGCTTTATCTATTCTTATAAAATTATTATATAATTTAAAGGTTAATGAACTACCAAATTTAAATCAAAGCAAATACATTTATTCAAAGGGTAGGTTTGACAAGATTCGTGCTAAATTTAAATGCTCTGATTGGTACACTCAATGTAGACAATTTGGATAATGCGACAAAATAGTTTTATAATAAATATGAATAAGGATTATTTTTTTATAGGATAAAGGTGACAAACGAACACACAGCCCACCTGATGGTAAGTGGATACTGTGGCTCATAGACATCTACATTTATGAATTAATATTTAGATTTGAGAATTAAAATGCAGATGCGTTGTCACCCTTGAAAACTAAGATGGAAGGCCTCGATTCCAGTAAAATGGGTCTCCGATTCTCTACACTCACCGTACGAAACAAAGCAGCATTAAGCTGCTATTTTACGCTGGTATTCTGTGAGAGCGTGGTCCTTCCCCGGTCAAGTCGACCCATTCATGCTACAACCATAATAGATACATCATGGCTCTACCACGTATTTATACATACCGATTAAAACTGTTAAATGCTCTCGTTACCCGCCCTGGTATAGCCAGCCTTCGATAAAGATACTACATAAACACAATTCCATCGTAAATATAAGACCTATGGCAATCTAGGTGATTATGAATCTTTTTCATTCCTACATGCAAAAGCTAAAGATGTTGAAAAAGAATGCTATCGAAATTTTATCTCACTAAAGGAAGAACATTTTGCTAGCAAGCCAAAGTCGTTTTATAGATATGTAAAATCCTACAAGAATGATCAGTCATTTCCTAACAACATGTCACTGCAAAACGAAACAGCTGTAAATGACAGCAATTAGGTGACTTATTTGCAATATACTTTCATTCCATATTTTCCTATCCGAACAGTAATTTTCACTCTGGTCATACCACTTTTGGTGAGTTAAGCATTCCACACTTAGTTAATTTGAATACCATAAGTATTAATAAAACTTAAATCATTGGATCTAAACAAATTGGGTGGGCCGGATCTTATACCACCTATTTTTATAGTTAATTGTTCCAACAAACTTTTGGAACCTCTGTTCATTCTCTGTAGGCGCCAGATAGCTGAAGGAGTTGTTCCCAACGTTTGGAAGCAGGCACACATTACACCTGTTCAAAAAAAAGGGTGCAAAACAGAACCAAAACAGAAAATTACCTGCCTATATCAAAAATATGTTTATTTGCTAAAGTATTTGAACATATTTATTTCTTATTTTCTTACTTCCCCTATACTTAGTGACGCCCAACATGGATTTCTTAAAAAAAGATCTGCTGTTACTAATCTGATCCTTGCAGATCCAGACAGAATTACATTTCAAAAGGTATGGATATTGTTCCCCAAGTTGACTGTATTTATACTCACTACAGTAATTGCTTCGATCGAACAAATCATCAAATCCTTTTAAACAAATTGGTAATGTCAGTGTCAGGTATATATGGAGACCTTTTGCGATGGTTCTCCTCCTATATTAAAAATAGGTCACAAGCAGTAGTACTTAATGGCTTTATGTTCACTTGGTTACCGGTTCCCTCAGGAGTACCTCAAGGCTCTCTATTGGGTCCCTACTCTTTATTATCTTTGTGAACAATATAGAGAAGTGTTTCTTGTACTCCAAAGTACTCTCATATGCTGATGATATGAAAATATTTATAATTATTGTTAGTACAGAGAATACTATGTTATTGCAATCAGACTTGGAAATTTTTGAAACATACTGCAATATAAACAAACTAGATTTAAATGTACCTAAATGATTTTTGAGTTGTTCACAAAGGAGTGACATAATCAATGGCGACTATCATTTAAAGGGCACATCTATTGCCAGAGTATATGAGGCCTGTGATCTTGGAGAAATTCAAGAATCAAACTTATCTATGAGAAGCATATATTTATATCAATCGATATCGATTTGTCATCCACTATTCTTGTGCCTTCGACAGCCTAAAAACAACAAAAATTCTCTTCTGTTCTTGACATATTCTTGAATATGTATCACAGGTCTGGAACCCGCAATATGAGATTTATAAGTCTTGTATTGAGGGTGTCCAGAAAGTCTTTTCAAAGTATCTTGATTAGCGCGCTTAGATAGAGCGCATGCCAAAGATTAAAATTTTTGAATTTGTGCGTTTGCAAGACGCTGACGCGCGCACATTAATGCGGCGCTACCACGGCATTTCCGTCTGTATATGTCTATTTATAGATGATCCCTTTGTAAACCGCTTCCTTAGTACATTCGAGTATCTAACTAAATTGGTTATAAGAAGAGTACTGAGACAATAGTGTCATCTCTTATTATCTTACAGAAATTGTGTATAATACTTTATCTGTCGCACAGTTTCCGTTTGCCCGTAATTAGTTCGTGGTATGTTCTGACATCGGAATAAAATAAATTCAATATAATATAGATAGATACCTACGCGTGAAATGTTATGGCGGCTGTACATGCTCGTCGAGATACCACGAGACAGGCCGAGTACGACTGTGTACAGTAATGGTGGTTAATATAGCGCATAGCGCCATATTATAGCGTGCTATCTCTTCATAACGCATAGCGCGTGCTATGTAAGTAGTTGCCAAGGCGCTATGACGCTATGACGCTTTGGCGCTATTCATATCAAGCGGCAATTAGTTCTAGCAGCCGCGCTGTTGGGAGCAGACGTGTGACGCAAATTTAATCTAGCAGCACGCTATTCATCGCGCGGGAACTAGTTTAGTGTTATACGTTATTTAGTTAGTGTATACTGTATATTTATAAGTGATCGAAGGACACAGTTGTCTGCTACAAAAGAAGCCTAACTAATGTTTTTAAATGTAAATAAAATATGGATACAAAAGTGTATATAATAGAGTTTCTAAATAGTTGATTTTTGTATATACAATCAATAAACTTTTAAATACACCTTTGATTTATAATTTGTATTAAGGTTAAAATAATGTTTACATCAATTATAATAAAAAATTATTAATTTTATTTTGTTTTAAAAAGTACAGTCCTTAAAAATATTTTTAGGATTATAAAAAGTCGAAGCCTGAAAAGTATTAAAGAGCGTTCTTTAATTTTTCTTTACCACTTTATTTTAATTTAACCTAAACTTCGACTTTTTACGAAACAATGTTCTTATATAGCACGCGGTCTATCCAATGAACGGCATGTAATGTAGCGTGCTCCGAGATATAGCGTGCTGCTAAACTTAACGCGCTTGCCGGCCTCCTACACACTTTTTTATAAATAGCGCTCTATAACATAGCGTATTTAATAGCGCGCTAGAAATTTCTAGTTTATAGTCTGTAGCGTGCTATTGATTTATAGTCGTTTTGAACAACTTTAGTGTACAGTACCCGGCGATAAATATTGCACATCGACCCATGGAAAGAGACAATCGGCTAATTTCGGCTTCGTAGAGCGTTATCTCTGTCGCACGAAATACAAACAGACCGATATCTATTAGGAGCTGTCAAAACAATTATGATTTGCTTTTTTGATAACTCTTTTTATTCTTTGTATAACATACACCAATTTTTCTATAAGTGATAGCTTTAGGTTGGAGAAAATAAAATAAAAAAACATGTTCACATTATGTTTAAGTATTTAATTATTTTGGAAAATTGCTGAACTTAATTTCAGTAGAATGTGTTTCAGTACTGACTTTGTTTAATATATTGTTCAAAGTTCTTCTTGAACAAACATTCTAATAACTTACATTTACATCTTCATTTTTTTTAATCTGTTAGCTTCGTGTACAAAATATTTATAAACATTGTAGATAATTTCATGTGACTTACCTTGTAAAAGTTTCCCTCTTTTTCCTAAAGATGCCATAGTACAACTTTAAATTATTTAAATTTGGGGGTGTTGACAACTCTTAATATATATTTTGAACTGGACGCGACCGTACTCTATCGCACTTGAACAACGACTGACAAAACATCACATAGGTAGTGTGCGCCAGAGATAACGCTCTACGAAGCCAAAATTAGCAGATTGTCTCTTTCCAAAGGTCGATGTGCAATATTTATCGCCGGGCACTGTACATGGTGCTCCCGTCGCGTCGCGTCTCATGACCATCGTGCGCTCTCGGAAGCGTGTCGGTTTTTGCGCTCGAGTCAAAGGGTCTCGTGAATCTCGCGATGAAATGAGAACGTACTATATTATATTCACCGTACATGGTTCAGTTACGATAAATAGAAACCATCCACCATCTTCTTCTTCGCCTTCGTGGCCTATTAATTTTATTTTTATGGTAAATGTGTAAAAAGTTAGAACAACTAATAGCACAAAGGCAAAACGCAGCAACAGTTTCATATACGTCCATCTCAGCGGGCACACGGAGTTCAAATGGTACGAGTGTATACACGGCGTGTTCTCATGCCGAGCCTCAACACGACGAGAGGCACGCGAGGCAATAAGACGAGCGTGTACAGCAGGCATTACACCTTGGGCTATATTAGTGTTTCTAGAATTATTATTGCACTTTCGAAAGACACACGATGGCATTCTGAGTTTTTTTTTGTGAAATCTGCCGCGTTAGTTCCAATGTGCAACATCTGGCTGTCACTGCGCACAAATGAACACTTATTGCGAATGAGTGAGCTCATTTGAGAATGGACACATTTCGAAGTGGTCATACTATGGTAAGGGCGCATCTAATGATTTAAAACTTTAGCGCATACGGTTTTTCAGGACTATGAAGATATAGAGAACAGAATAGCATATATGAGGAAAAACGCAAACTTCTTTACATAAACAGAGCTCATACAAACTATAGACATGATTTTTTCATGATTAGAACTGCTAAATTTATAAACTCGCTTAACTTTGATATTGATCCATTCAATACGTCCAAGAGTACCTTACCCAGTGAATATTTTGCTTAGAAATCTATCTTAATTCTTAAATTATTCATAATAAATATAGTTTTTAATTTTATTGTTAACCCTTCAAGCGCCATAAAAATCCCATGCAGTCGCATGCGCCCGTCAAACCCCGAGCGGTCGCATGCGACCGCACCCACACACAGCACTTAAAACCATTAAAACTTATATTTAGAGACTACTTTTCTACGAAGAAGTTTAGCATTATAAAATCTATACAAAATTCTCTATCTAGTGGTCTAAACAAGAGTCAGGTTTTACGTCATTACAAAAAGATTTTATTGCATTTTGATAACAAAAAAAAAACATACCAAGCGAATGTAGGCAGCGTGAAAATCACAATTATTTCAATATATATTACTCGAATTTATTTACGTAAAAAGATAAATTATATTCACACAAAAACTTTCATTACAATTTTATAATATACCATATATATATTTATTTATTTATATATATAACACTATACTTAAATACTAATAAAACACTAGAAAAATCAACACAATAACCTTCCCGCGAAAATGGCGTACGAAATGAACGTAGATTATAAACAAATATTCATAGGATAACAGTTTCTTTATTGCACTAGAGGATAGAGTAATTCATATTGATTATATAACGCCAAACTTGTTCATAGAAAAGTAGTCTCTATTTATAAGTGTTTATGGGTTAAAGTGCTGTGGGTGGGTGCGACCACATGAGGCCGCTACGGATTTGACGGAATATGGCCGCGGTCTCATGTGACCGCTAGGGGGTTGAGAGGTTAACTAGTTGAGTTATCTGTAAAATTGCTTTTGTTTATATCTTTAATTTTTAATTCTAAAAGTGGGAACTTGTAAATGGCTTAGTAGCACACTATTATACTTTTTTTAATTTAATAAGATTGCTAAGTTTTTGAATAAAATACGAATAAAATAAAATATAAACCTCAGTTTCTGCATAATACATTTTGTGTTGTTTTCAAGAATATGCTGCCATATGCCTTCTGCTGCCGTATGAGTTCATAGAGCATTTGCTCATATTGACTTTTTAATACCAAAGTACCTGGATGACCTTATTTTGAAATTACATTTAGATACATACTACATACTGATGAAACATGAATAAAATTTTTTGATCTTATTGACATAATAGAAAAAAAACTGAACTGGTTATTTGAATTAAAAATCATGAGAGCAATTACTTTAATTAAAATAATAGATTTTCTCACAAAAGAAGAAACGAAAAAAAATCGGACCGAAGATTGGACGCGAACCAAGTCGTTCGATTTCGCGACCGCTCGATATCCACTTGAGCTATTACGATCATTATCACAGTGTCAAAATTTACCTTCTTATATTGTAGCAGTTTTTCATTGCCTGAAAACACGGACAAAAGACATTTTCTAAAAATAAATCCTGGCAGAGATTTATTGCCCCCGAAACTCCCTGGACACAAAATTTTATGAAAATCGTTGGAGCCGTTTTCGAGATTCCGATTATATATATATATATATATATATATATATATATATATATATATATATAAATATACTAGCTTGCCAGGCAGACGTTGTTCTGCCCTTTTCGACGACTCTTTGTCATGTCCCATTAAAAATCCTTAAATAGCAAAAAAATTGTGAGTCACTCATGGGCAAAAAAAACTACTCTATCTCTCAAGTTGGACCAAACTGAACATGGTGTGCAAATTTGATTAAAATCCGTTAAGTAGTTTAGGAGTCCATTGCGGACAAACAACATGACACGTAATTTATATATATTAAGATGCAAAAATTTGCTCGTAATGGTATAGATTGTTTCATTGAGTTTATAGAGCACTTGCATGTGTTGATTTTTTAATACCAAATAAACAAATCTTAGAAGACAGCTCTACAACTTCATTATCAGCCAAAACATAATTAATATTATGTATAGATACATTTGAAAAACATGCTTTTGAATTAAACCAAATAATTAAACTGTGAAATTAACCACAGAAATAACTAGTATGACGGAGGCCAAAGTCATTCGAACTTCAAACATAACCGGGTCACACTCACCAGGATCAATAGGCCTAACTGGTTCTGTTCTGGGTATGGTGAAATACCCTTTAGGGTTGGGGTCCCAGCACTTGGCAACAACCAATTTAATGGGGCCTGGCTTCTGGACCACTTCACGCAGCACTCTCACAGCTTCATCGTTGGTCATGTCTTCAAAGTTAACGTCATTCACCTGTAAGTACCAGCAGGAATATTGTTCAAATAATGTTACGCAATAATAACAATGTCCTCCTAACCGAATTTCGGTCACGGCGGTCAGTTTGAACTAGACTAGTCATCTACACAGGACAGGATTATGGTAAATGAGTGTGTGTGCAAGCACCGTTGTACTTTCTATTGCCTTACTCTCATAGTTCGATGAGACAATAACCCGACACGAACGGATAGACTAGATGCAGGACTAATGGCTTTACATGCTTTCCGAGGCACGGGTGTGAAACACCACCAACTTTCTGACTCTGGGCTGCTACTGAGAATTTGCAGACCTGGGATTCAACCTCGAGACCAGAGAAGATCCAAGAAGACAGTAATGTTATATAAATTTATCATTACATGTTAAATTTTGTCTTACACTATTAAATGTTTTTTTTATAGAATAAGGGTGACAAATGAGCACACAGTCCATCTGATGGTAAGTGGATGCTGTGGCTTATAGACATCTTCATTTATCCTTAATCAAGAATTGAAATGCAGATGCATCGTCACCCCTGAGAACTAAGATGGAATGCCTTGTTTCCAGTAAAAAAGGTCTCCAGTTCTCTACACTCACCATACGAAAAAATCCCTTTTCAAAAATGAAGGGAGGTTAGTGCCCAGCAGTGGGACTTATATAGTAACTTAACTTTTTGGAAGATGGTGCTTGTATATGTCCCGGTTTGTACTGTAACAAGAAGTCAAATGAGGGGAGGCCTGTGCCCAGCAGTGGCAGCAAAAGAAAGTAAAGTTTCAGCTTATATAGGCCATATAGGCTGAAACTTTACTGTTTTTTATATAACATAAAATAAAATACCCTGAAACAAAAAGAGCTGATGATCTTCAAGTGGCTGAAAAGATATTTTTTAATCATAGCTAAGAAGACTTATTTTATGATATTTAAGTAAAACCAGTGTGATTGCAATTTTAAATATTTAACTGCATATCTGGTGACTCATAAATTGTTGTGGGGAAACCTGCATGTATGAGGAATAAAAATTTTTAAGGGTATGCAGTCTGCTAACAATTATTGGAGAAATATGGCAGAAGAGAACCATTAGAGCAATCTGTGATTTAAAACTTAAAAAGGCAATACTGACCGACAGTATGGCAGTACTACAAGCTCTGAGTTGCAATGTGACAAACTCGGGACTGATATACGAGTGCCATCAACGATTGAATGAGGTATGTAAGCACAACAATGTGACTCTGCAATGGATCAAGGGACACAGTGGATCTAGAGGCAACGATGCAGCAGATGAACTGGACAGAAGGGGATCAGCTCTGGCAACTACAGGGCCGGAACCAATAATACCAATCCCCTTTGGCTATGTTCGTTCACTGGTACGTAGATACTTCAATAATTTACACGCTCAGCTTTGGAAAAATTTAGTAGACTGTAGACAAGCTAGGGAGGCCCTGCCTGAAATAAACAGTTGTCTAACCAAGGTTCTATTGAGACTGAACAAGCCACCGATCAGGATAGTAACAAGTGCTATCACAGGACATGGCTCTTTGCATTTGTTCACCATAGGTGTTACTGATAGCCCCCTGTGCAGGGCATGCATGGGAGAGAAAGAAACGGCGGCTCACGTGTTGCTGACGTCCAGAATTCGTTTCATACAGGGCTAAACATCTCGGCATGCCGGGATCGCTCCACGAAGTTGCTTGCAATCAAAGGACTGTTGAACTTCTTCAGGGAAATATCATGGCTCGAATAACCACATTATTCCTGCCCACACGCAAAATAACGCGCTTAGACGTGGAGTTGCGGAAAACAGTCTGTCGTGAACTAACTAACTAACCTAAAGAGGCGCTCAAACAAAAATTTTAAGAAAATAGTATACTGTCTTTGGACTCTCAATACATTTATTTATTTTTTTATAGTAGAGGGAGAGGGGAGGTTAACGGAGGCAAACAAGCATATGGTTCACCTGATGTTAAGTGACCACCGCCTCCCATGAACAACCGCAACACCAGGGGAATTGCAGGTGCGTTGCCGGCCCTTTAGAAAGGAGTAAGCTATTTTCTTGAAGAACCCTAGGTTGTCCCGGAAAAAGGTGGTAAACTATTCCACAGAGAGGTTGTACGCAGAAGAAAACTCCTAGTGAAACATACAGTGGTGGACCACCAAGCATCCAGATGGTGTAGATGGTATCGAGACATTTGCCGCGTAGTGCGTTCACGACTTTGGCAGTTGGGATTAATCCAAACAATTCCTCAGAGCACTTCCTGTGGTATATGCGAAAGAAAATGCAAAGAAATGCAACATCTCTTCGCAGTGCCAGTGAATTGAGCTGATCTTAAAGCAACTCGGTCATGACAATTCGAGTTGCTCGGCCCTGGATACGGTCAAGTGGATGAAGCTGGTACTAAGGAACCCCGGCCCAGAGATGGGAACAGTATTCCATGTGCGGCCGAACCTGTGCCTTGTAAAGTTGCAGGCGGTGTGCCAGCATGAAACACTGTCCCGCTCCGCTGAGCACGCCAAGCTTTTTAGAGGCCAATTTGGCCTTCTGTTCCAAGTGACCACGAAACTGCAAGTCACTCAATATGTCTATGCAGAGGTTTCCGATACTGGATGAGGCAACAAGGGGAGTGCCTTGAAACTGAGGAGATACGACGAAGGGGTTCTTTTTAGCGGTTAACATGCAAACTTGTGTCTTCTTGAACTAGATTTAGTCGCCCCCAATCCGAGACTTTGTTCAGCAAACTTTGATCAGCAAAGACTTGACTTCAGACACAAGTTTGTCCCGGTACTCAGAGACGTTTTCCCAAGAAATATTGGCACGGCCGGTGTACAGAGCATCACCAGTGTTGTCATTTGCATGGCAATGAATGTTACGGGTTTGCAACATATCATTAATATGCACGGGTTTGCAACATATCATTGATATGCACGGGTTTGCAACATATCAAGAAACAGCGTTGGTGATAGCACACAGCCTTGTGGAACACCAGCATTAATAGGCTTGTAATTGGAGCGTGCAGCGTCTACAATGACCTTGATGATGATCGACTTTCTGCATGTCTTACCAGGTCGTCACTCCATCTAGTGGGGGGTCGCCTTACACTTCGCCTACCGGTACGAGGCTGCCACTCGAGAACCTTTTTTTCCCCAACGGTTGTTGGTTCATCGAGCTATACGGCCGGCCCATTGCCACTTCAGCTTACTAATCCGTTGGGCTATATCAATCACTCTGGTTCTACTGCGGACTCATTTCTAAGTTTATCATACAGAGAAACGCCGAGCATAGCCCTCTCCATAGCTCGCTGAGCGACCTTGAGCGTCCTCATATGGCCAGCAATGAAGGACCACAACTCGGTTCCGTAGGTCATCACTGGCAACACGCACTGGTTGTACAACTTACTTTTCAGGTTTTGAGGTATACCTGATGAGAAGATGCGTCGTAATTTCCCGAACACTGCTCAGCCGAGTTGAATCCGTCGATTGACCTCTCGGTCGAAGTTGGACTTACCTAGTCAGACTATTTGTCCCATGTAAACGTACTTGTCAACAACTTCGAGCTTAGTGCTCCCAACAACTACCAGCCATAGGTGTGACGTGGACATTAAACATGATCTTTGTTTTGTCCATGTTCATCTTAAGACCTATCCGTTGGGAGACATAATTGAGGTCATTGAGCATAGTGCTAAGGTCCTCCAGCGATTCTGCCATAAGGACTATATTGTCGGCAAATCAAAAGTGAGTGATGTACTCACCATTGATGTTAATACCGTATCCTTTCTAGTCCAGTAGCTTGAAAACGTCTTCCAATGCAGCGGTGAAGAGTTTCGGGGGAAATAACATTACCATGTCTTACACCTCTCTGCAGTTGGATAGGTTTCGTACTCTGGTTCTGTACTCGGATAGCCATCGTAGCTCTACTGTACAAACACTTCAGCATTTCAATATACTGACAGTCAACTTGGCATCACTGAAGAGACTGTAGCACAGCCCAAATTTTGACGGAATGATAGCCTGATTATGAAAATGTAATGTACATACACTAAAATAAAAGTAGTTTTATAAAAATAAGTGATATTCAATCATGAATACTAGGAACAGACACAAGCTAGTAGTACCAGTTACTCAACTCCACCGAGTCAGTAATTCATTTTTGGGGCTTGTATATGCTTTTACAACAAAATCTCAGAAAGTACACAAAATTTGACCTGCTCAAAGTTCAAAATCTTTATTAAACTAATTTTTTTATATAAAAAATTAATATAATATTAAGGAATTAATGGATGATAATAAACCTTGGGAACCTACTTCTAATTTCTTTTGTGTTATTAATAGTAATATAGATGATTGTAAGCTGTTTTCTTTTTAAAGTCCTGCTGGGTTTCTAGCTGGCTCTTGCCAGGACAGAGATTTTTTACCGAAACAGTGGTAAACTAAAAAAGTGACTTTTTTAAGTTATTATTTATAATCCATATTGAATTTTAAAAAAAGTTTTTCACTTCAGCCTTCTCAGAATTGAGAGCTGCGCCTGTGCCCACCTGTGGGCTTTATGTGCTGTAACATTAAACAATCACCAACAGATGACACTACATAGAGTCAAAAACAAGTGATTTTCTAAAAATTTCGTACAAAAAAAAAACAAGGGAGGTGGATTGGTATCTAATATTATTAAATGATAATCCAGACCGAATTTAGGTCACGGTAGCCACTCTCAACAGAGACTAGCCCTCTGTGCAGGACAGGATTATGGTACATGAGTATGTGTGCAAGCACAGGTGCACTCTCTATTTCCTCACACTAATAATCCAATGGGATGGTAATCAAACATGACCAGAGAAAGATCAGGCGCAAGTTGATATTATTATTAAGTTGTCAGAAAGTTACTGCTGCCTGTCTCCAGTTTCAGTTTCCTTCTGTTGTCTATTACAGTGCCTACAGCATATGGAGTGGTGGACTCTTACATCGCCAATAAAATATGGCAAATTACAATTGAAATAATGTAAGCAGTGATTACAGGATCTCTATAAAGTTATGTTTTTTATAGAATAAGGGTGACAAACAAGCACACAGTCCACCTGATGGTAAGTGAATACTGTGACCCATAGACATCTAGACTTATCCTCAATTAACAATCAAATCGCAGATGCGTTATCACCCCTGAGGACTAAGATGGAATGCCTAGTTTCCGGCAAATAAAGGGTCTCCAGATCTCTACATTCACCATACAAAACACAACGGTATTAAATTGTTATTTTACGCTGGTATTCTGTGAGAGAGTGGTCCTTCCCCGGTCGAGTCGACCCATTCGTGCTACAACCATAATATAGCTGCAGTGTGGCTCTACCACCTTATAAGTTTAGGTCAACTACACATGTGCTTGGGCTTTTTATTACAGTTTTCCGGTCCGTAAAGTATACACAATAATTAAACAATTTAAACTTTCATACATGATTCACATAACAAGGACCCTTTCCTTGTAAGGAGCACTTACAAGGGCAGCCACAATAATTTAAAAAAGATTAATTATAATCAGATGCATGGTATAGAAACACATATAGGATATACATATAGATAAAGGGTATGTTCCCAAAAAGAACCCAGTGTACTGTCCAATGCAAATGATGTCATTAATCGACACTATACTGGTGATTCATTCAAAAACATAGAACAGTATATGAAGTCATACATTTGCGCCATATTGCAAAAGTATTGGCGATTATTTTGTCATTTTGTGCTGCAAAATAACCTCCCAATGGAGATACCAGCAATTATTCTATAATTTTTTGTATTTGAATAAATAAAAACAAATTCTGGCATGCTTCATCCAGCGCACACACAATTAAAAATTGTTTTATTATGGCTGGATATTCAATGCAGTATGGCGGCGGCACACTAGTACAATATAGTGTCAATTGATGACGTCACTTGTATTCGGCAGTATACTGAAAACGTTTCCGAACATACCCAAAATATAAGATACTAGCAATCTGCCTTGACATTGCATGAACGATTGTTGGAACTCAAAAACACAGCCACCTACTGCATCTAATTGTGAACCTACATCATCTAAGGACCCACTCAAGTACACAACCAAAATTTGTAGTCATTTGTCAACATTAGTCCAACCATTTAAGAATAGTTCAATGACAAACACACATACAAAAGAATTAAGTATAAAGATAAAGATTACCTGTAATATCATATCCCCAGGTTCTATTCTGCCATCCAGGGCAACAGCACCACCTTTCATAATGCTCCCTACATAGATTCCACCATCACCACCCTTATTTGACTGCCCCACTATAGATATCCCAAGGAAATTTACAGTATCCATGTTCAAAGTTACAGTGATTATATGCATAGACATTGTAGAGTCAGTTATGGATGAATATGAGGAAGTTCGTGACATTACTTGTGGCCTTTTTCGTCTTCGCTGAGGCCGCTTCCTCGAACTGACCTGAAGGTGGGAAACACTACTGCATTCTGTGAGTGCGCGATCCACTGAAGCATTCGTATGGCGACCAGTTGTTGTTGTGATCTCAGACTGACTGTCAAAGAGACTCGTGGAGTCCAGATCTGAGCTAAGAACAGAGGCTGTTTCGTATTCCAGGCCATGATTACCGTACTTTGAATGCCCATTTATTCTGAGCCCTCTGTACTTGTATTTGTCACAGGACGCACGATGTCCAGGTCGAGAGCTTATCGTGCTGTCAGTATCAGTACAGGTATCACGAGTGAGCGGCACGGTAGGGGCTCCATGAGGGTTTGGTTTACCTTTACCAGCATTACTGTCGGTACACTGTGAAGCCCCGTCTGAAGGGTTGGATCCTTCCGCGGAGACTAGCCACGACACCACACGACCATTAAAGCACGGAAGATGAGCGTTATCGTCCACAATCTCTTCTTTCACAACACCAAAATCATCATCCATCGATTTAAAAAAGAATTTATAGTTAGGTCTGTTCAATTGATTTTTAAAGTCCAATAACGTCACTTTTTCGGGCGATATCGGTATTTTAACTAAATACGGCGTCTCCTCATCGTCTATGTAGTAAATAACTTTCGTTTCCTCCATTTTAAAACATTTATTATGGAAAACTAACAACACCCATAGGATCTATAAATATCGGCCGCCATCACAAATATGGCGATTAAAAAGTTTCCCTTAAATGTCAGCACGTGGCGCTACTATCACAAACTATAATAAGAGTATTATTATACTAACGTAGCTAAGCTAATATCGAGATATACCTATCAAGATTTAGAACTTTACCTTAGTTTTCTAATAATTTTCTTATAATACCTAATTAAGAAAATATAATTTCTTTTATTAAATACGTTTACTTCTACATATCAATGTTTATTGTATTACTTTATTTGTCAGCCATCAGCATGAAAGGATGTGAATTTAATTTCACAGAACTGATAATTCCATGATAAATAATAAGTACTCTTTGATTATAATTTAATTTACAATTTTAAATATTACATTTTATAGTACCTATGTACTTTATATTATTTCATTTTACTTATTATTTTATACGTGGGAGAGCCACGCTGCAGCTAAATTATGGTTCGGCGAATGGGTCGGCTTGACCGGGGAAGGACTACGCTCTCACGGAATACCAGCGTTAAATAGCAGCTTAATACTACTGTGTTTCGTATGGTGTGTGTAGAGACTCGGAGACACTTTTTACTGGAAACGAGGCATTTAATCGTAGTGCCTAGGGGTGACAACGCATCTGCGTTTTGATTCTTAATCGAGGATAATTGTAAATGTCTATGGGTCACAGCATCCACTTACCATCAGGTGCTCGTTTGTCACCCTTACTCTATAAAATAAAAATAAAAATATAAAAATATTTTTCTCGATTTCTTTTAGCCTTTTAAACTTTAAGTTAGCCATACCGATTCTGTACAGATGAATGTATATTATTAAAATTTTAACAACTTTTTAATATGTCGTCTGTCGTAAAATTTTACATACGTAGGGTAAGTGGCAACCCTAGTATAGGGTGTATGTATTGGGCATGGAAGTTAAGGAACAGGGGAAGGATCGCTGTAGAAAATAATGTCCCAGAAATGTGGACAAAATAAGAATGGCCCTGCAATCGCTAAGTTGTCTCAATAATTTCAATTATTATAAATTATTACAAATGTAAACTTTTAATCATTATTGATTTATTATTATTATTTTTTATAATATTTCACCATTTTTTAATGTTTCTTTTTGTTGAAAATTAAAAAGTTACTTCGCAGACACTACTTACTGACGGCAGCGCGGCTATAAATTTAACAAAATAGGCAGGCTAAGCATTAGCACGTAGCGATCGTTCTCCTGTTCTCTAGCCTCCATGATACTGAGCACTGACTTGTACTCTTATTAGTTTGTGCCTAGCACCTAGTTGATATTATATCTCTATGGTACTCGGTACGTTATATATCTCTATGGTATATACCGGTAAATAAAAAATTTTAAATATTGTCGAAATATGGTCGAAATTCGAGTGAATTTTTGTGTTCTGGATGTATAATTGTGATTTTTACATAAAATAGAAGTTACAAAAATATAAAAGCGAAGTGTTTGTTTTCGTATTCATGAAACGATGGCTACATCTACGTGGGAATTAGAAATCATCGAAGAACTAGACTCATTTTGTCTCAAATTAGAAGGTAAATTTTAAATTATTATACCAAACCCTATTATTTCATCCAAAAATTATTAAAGATTTGAACTTTCAGAGAAAATTTACAAAAAACAACAACAGGTAGAGGCTAGCAAGAAGAAATATGAACTAGAAACGAAGTTAGCACAGGAAATGAAAATAAATGTAAGATATTTTTTACTACTGTATTTTCAGTTAACATTTTGTATTATACCTTAAAGTTATGCTATATTATAACTGTCTTTTCTTTAGTCGGAGTTAACCCAGCAGCTAGCAGAGCTAAGTCGTCGCGGTGGAGAGCTGGAGCGAGTGTGTGCCACTTTCGAATCCCTTACAATTGCAGAAAGCGATCGCCATCGGCTAGACAATGCCAAGTAATATATATTATCAACCTTATAAAATATTGTATTTATTTATGATAAACTAGTTTCGTGTCTCTCAAACATGACTGATCAGAGATGAACATAATCCGCCTCCATAGTATGCCTCATAGGGGGATATTTGCCATAGTTGCTACGCTTGGCAAGTGGGTTGGCAGCCGCAATGTTTTATCTTTAGTTGTTATTAGGAACATGCTGCCCATCTCCTGAGTTGTTTCCCTCTGTCGCCTTTTTATGACGCCCACTAGTACGTAGCGGATATTCCTAAACTGCCACTACACAGTGTATGCGTAAAGTCAGTGATAGTATAGACATGTAAATCTTAAAAAAACTGCAAATGGTTGTATTTGCCAATTAAGATTTGGGGGTTATGTGGTTAGGGTTAGTAGGGGGGTAGAAAACTAAAGGCTTATGTTTAGTCAGTGCGCTTCACTGGTTACAGCTGCATCACCACTGGCCACTAAGTGGGACAGTAGTTGAACTCGGGCTTGAAATAGTAAACAAAAGGTGACAGCTTGCTGTTGGTTTGCTGTGATTTGAAAATTACGAAACAAGAAATTGACATAACAAAGGATAAAACTATTATTTACGGATTTTATCGCGTTTAATTACTTTAATTTATTTTTATTATTATCCCGACGTTTTGGGTGCTTTACAGCGCCCATGGTCACGGGGGGGACTGAGATGTTTGACGTCCCAATGTCATAGTTAGTCCGGCTACCTTCAGTTTTTTAATATTAATTTTTGGTCCGATTTACGCAAAACGAGCTTATAGTATCATGAAGTCTTGCAGTGGTATGCTTGGGTTTGGGTTTAATTTTGTTAATTATAGGATTCCAAGCAGATGGTAGCACCCAACCATCTTCTCTATTGAAATTTGGATGTTTTTTAATTTCAATAGCTTCGTGTATCATCCTTGATTCCTGTTAGGAATCGGTGTTCTTTTGCGAGAATTTGTGGTTATCAAATCTAATGTAATGGTGGGGACGATCTTGAACATGTTCGCAGACTGCAGACTTCCCGGAGCGTCGGTGCTTCACATCAGCTATATGTTCCTTCACGCGGGTTTTTATAGATCTCTTTGTTTGACCTATGTAAGAGAGACCACATTCACAATCTAGCTTATACACACCTGCATCTTGTAGAGGAATATTACATTTGATGGATGGTAAAAATTGACTAATCTTCTTCAGCGGCTTGTAGTATGTCTTAATGGACGCTCGCTTCAAGATGTAGCCAATCTTGTCCGTGACTCCTCTAACATATGGTAGTAGGGCAGGCGCGCGCTCGACTGTGGCCGGCTTCACTCGTTCACTGTGACGTAGGCGCGGGACCCGAAGCTTGTTGTCTTGCAATACTTGCTTGACGTGCTGAAGCTCCGCGGTCAGATGTTTTCTGTCACAGATCCCTCGTGCTCTCTGAAACAAAGATTTACCCACGGTAGCTTACTGTGAAGGATGATGGTGAGATTCACCATTTAAATATCGGTTGGTATGGGTCTTTTTCCTCTGACTCGTCACACTGTGTATAGGATGTGTATAGGACTATCTAGTGGGGGGACATCTAGTGGGGGGTCGCCCTACACTTCGCCTACCAGTGCGAGGCTGCCACTCGAGAACCTTTTTTCCCCAACGTTTGTCGGTTCTTCGAGCTATATGGCCGGCCCGTTGCCACTTCAGCTTACTAATCCGTTGGGCTATGTCGGTCACTCTGGTTCTATTGCGGATATCCTCATTTCTAAGTTTATCACGCAGAGAAACTCCGAGCATAGCCCTCTCCATAGCTTGCTGAGCGACTATGATATATGAGCATATTATGATGGAATGTGAATGAAATGAAGCATATAGAAAACAATTAGGTTTTGAAAAAATAGTGTTGGATTATAATATAATGGTATCTTAGCTTTTCCATTATCGGATAAGGCTAGAAAACTTTATAAACTTTTATTCTTATGTATTAAGATTATTAGAAATGATACGTTTGTCTAACAATAATAATAAATTTTATTACCACATTTTTATTAAGTCACTTTCTTTGTTTGTCTGTTATCTCAAGTGGAATTTAGTAATTAATTTTTAAACTAACTTTCTGACAAGCTGGAAACTTAAAATTTGGAATACATCACTCAAATTTGGATGACGATGCACAAATATTATGATAAAAAATATAGTTTTTTATTTATTTACAAGATTTCATTATATATATATATATTTTTTTTTTCTTATTTCTCAGACATGCAGGTTTCCTCACAATGTCTTCCTACACCACCAAGCTCACAGTAAATCAGCATTTAAAATTGCAATAAACAATTTCATTTGTGCTGGTGGGGGTCAAGTCCAGATGTCATAGTTAACCGCGGTTACCATAGATTAAAATTTAACTTTTGTTCCGATCTACACAGTATAAACTTACGGTATCTTGAAGTCTTGCAGTTGTATGCTTGGGTTGGGTCCCAACAGTGGGTTAACTATGACATCTGGACGTTGAACATCTCAGTCCCGCCTGTGATCATGAGTGCTGTATAGCGTTCGAAACGTCGGGTATTTAAAAAGTTAAATATACGCGATAAATTCCGTAAAAACTAGTATTATTTCAATGTGTAGTGTTCGCGTAAATATAAGAAATCATTATGGCCATCTTTTGTTTTGGTTTCCTCCTAATGGCTCTTGTGACACCCACATTTGAAAATTAAATGCATTAGTGAATATTATTCTTTAATATAGAATTTTTTAATAACTATGAACAAAAGAAATAATGGCCTCCAGAACGAATTTCGGTCACGACGGCCTGCCTCAACGGAGACTAGCCACCGGCGCAGGACAGGATTATAGTGCCCAAGTGTATGCGCAAGCACAGGTGCACTCTATTCCCTCACTATGAGATAGTCCGATGGGATGGTAAACCGTCACAATCGGGAAGAGATAAGGCGCAGGATCAACGGCTTTACGTGTCTTCCGAGGCACGGGGGTGAGACATCGCCAACTTTCTGACTCTGGGCAGCTACTGAAAATGTCTAGACGGAAAAACTCAATAATTGATTTGTTTGGCCTGACAAGGTATTCAAACCCAGGACCTCATGATCAGCAGTCGCACTACTACAACCACTAGACCAACGAGGCGGACAAAATATACATGTGACTATGCCTTGCTTAAATCACCACTACACAGATTATAAAAAGTTAACTTGGTGTATATTTTTATTTTATCAGGGAAATGTATCAGGTGGCCAAAGAAATAACAGGGTTACGGCTGGACTTCAGTGCTTCGGCAAACATTGCCAAAGGCTGTATCCTTTTGGTTATGATATAGTATGGTATGATATGAGATTGTTATTATATTTCATTTTATTTTTATAGATTAAGTGTTACCAACAAGCACACAGTCTACCTGGTAGTAAGTGAAAACTGTAGCCCATAGACATCTACATTTAACCTCAGTTAAAAATCAAGATGCGTTACAGATGTGTGGTCACCCCATAGGTCTAAGATGGAATGACTCGTATTCAGTAAAAAAGGTATCGGATTCTCCATACTCATCATACGCAACAGCAACAGTAAGCTGGTATTCTGTGAGAGTGTGGTCCATCACCAGTCGAGCTGACCCATTTGTTCTACAACTGTAAAATAGCTGCACCATGTCTCTACCACGTGTTATGACTATACCACATTCCATAGCATTACTTATTGAATTTTTTTTAATAAGAGGCATAGGAAGTCATTTTTTCGCTGCTTGGGAATAAAATAAATTCAGGTGCATAGGATCTTGTTATGATTTTAGAATTTGCAGTGGTATTGTTAATGTCTAGTTGAGAGCCGGAGATCCGTTTTACTAGTAATCGAGGCATATTTTAGTCATCATTACATTTTTTTTATTCTTAGTCAACCACTTACATAGCAACCAATTATTAATGTTAAGTTTAAAATTAATAAAATCAAAAAAAAATTATTCATTTATAGAATATGGGTGACAAACAAGCACACAGTCCACCTGATGGTAAGTGGATGCTGTGGCTTATAGACATCTACATCTACCCTCCATTAGGAATCAAAACGCAGATGTGTTGTCACCCCTGAGGACTAAGATGGAATTCCTCATTTCCAGTAAAAAAGGCTCTCCGGTTCTCTCCACTCACCATACGAAACACAGCAGCATTAAGCTGCTATTTTACGCTGGTATTCTGTGAGAGCCGACCCATTCGTGTTACAACCATAAAATACAAATAAAATGAGAACATCAATGTGGTCGAAATCAATTAAATACGCATTATTATAAGGATAACTCAAAAACTTCTGGTCAGAACTTGATCTAATTTATATGGGACCACATGAGAAGCACCAGCTTTCAAATAAAAAAACGAATCATCAAAATCAGTTCACCTAGAATAAGTTCTGAGGTGACACACATTACAGTCGAATTGAGTGCCTTTTTTAACTCTATTTTAATAAAGATATTAAAATTTAATTCGCAACCATCCGCTCAATTAAATACAAGGTGGCCCATAAGTCGTTAGAAATGTAAATTTCGAATAAAATACAAAAGGCGCGCATGAGTGGTGTGCGCGGTGCTGGGGGAGTACCGACGGTTTCTGGGAATTCAGTCGCCATGGAGCGTTTCACCGGTGCAGACCGTGCATTTTGTGTGCGCGAGTATTATCGAAACAATGATTCGGCTACCATTGCGCGGCGTGAATTTCGAGAATATCAGAAGTTACGCAACTTTAAAGACATTCCAAGTGTTCAAACGATTAAGAACTGGGTTATTAAGTTCGAAGAGAGTGGTTCGACGTTGGATAAACAACGGTCAGGTCGACCAAGGACATCACGGACGGAAGAAAACATCGATGTAGTGAAACACTCAATTCGTGAAAATCCTACCCAGTCTACTCGTAAGCGTTCCAGTGCATTAAACTTACCCAGAACATCGTTACAGCGAATTTTAAAGAAAGATTTACATCTTCACCCGTACAAGATTCAGATAGTACAGGAATTAAAAGATACTGACACTATCCACAGATTAAATTTCGCAAATGAAATGTTGAACCGCTTTACTTCGTTTAATAACGTGTTATTCTCTGATGAGGCTCACTTTCACATCAACGGCCATGTCAATAAGCAAAATTGTCGCTACTGGAGTTGCGAAAATCCAAATCGCAAACATCAAAAGCCCTTACATAGCCCTAAAGTGACAGTTTGGGCGGCTATGTCAGCGCATGGCATTATAGGCCCTTACTTTTTTGAGGACGGCAGAGGCCGCGCGCTTACTGTTACTTCACAACGGTATGTAGCTATGATCCAGGACTTTTTTTACACCAGAGTTGCAGAATTTTCCAGGCTTCAATACGCGGACCTGGTTTCAACAAGATGGAGCAACTGCCCATACCTCTAACGTCGCTATGCCGGTCGTCCGTCAACTTTTCCCTAATAAAGTGATCTCTCGAAGAGGAGATATTCCTTGACCACCACGTAGTCCAATGGACTTTTTCTTATGGGGTTATCTTAAGACTAAAGTGTACGAAACCAACCCGCGGACAATTGACGTCCTGAAAGAAAATATCCAAAGAGAAATGGCAAACATTACAGAGCTTACTTGCCGCGCAGTGATGGATAATTTTAAACGTCGCTTACAGGAGTGCCGCGATCGTAACGGATTACATTTAGATGACGTAATTTTCAAAAAGTAATTCCCATTTTATATGGATTATGACAAAATAAAAACCTTTTTCATAATGTCATTAGTTTTTTTTTAATTATTTTTTTACATTTCAAGGGACTTATGGGCCACCCGGTACAATGATATGTCTTACCTAGATTGAAGAGCACCTCCCGCCCTCCCTCAATTGCGTGCACTAATTCCGTCACCACTACCCTCAACACCACTACTCCCAACACCACTACTCCCAACACCACTACTCCCAGCACCACTACTTCCTAAGCTAAGATGTTAGCGGTCAGCCGCCGTAGAGTGTACATCTCCTGAGGATGCCTCGTGTAGAGGCGAAACACGTGTCGTATTATCGTCGATGGTGTGTCTTTCCTGGAATAGTGGTGTTGGAAGTAGTGGTGCCGGGAGTAGTGGTGTTGGGAGTAGTGGTCCTGGGACTAGTGGTGAAGGAATTACTGCACGCAATTGAAGGAGGGAGGGAAGGTGCTCTTCAATTCAGGTAAGACACATCATTTTATATAATTTAGCGGATGGTTGCAAATTAAATTTTAATATCTTTATTATAATGAATTTCCGCAAAGTAACGCCTGATTCTATTAATTATATTTAATTTTTCTACTTTTAAGAATATCCGTAGTTTGGCTTATTGATTTCTAATCTAATTAATATAAAATATAGCTAATCATTCAGAAAGGACATTAATCCTTACATTTTGACTTCCCCATAATGAAATCCGCCAAATGTTTCACCATGGTTTCACCTAATTCCAAAGCGCTTTTCTGGTGGCAGAAAAAGTCGTGGATGTGGATGGATTATTGCCAAGATATTGTGTAACATAGTAGAGAGATCAATAAGTTTTTGGAAACGCAATGAAACTCTAGGACAAGTATATGTAAATTGCATTTATTTTTCAACGTAATCGCTTTTTAAGCTAAAATTAGTCTCGAAATGGGAAGGAAAGGAAAACAATTCTGAGGAGAAAGTGCATGTATAAATATTTATAACATCTCAACCTGCTATCTCAACTTCATCATTTGTAAATGTCACCAGTTGTAAATGTCACCAGAGAAAATCATCAAAATGGAAATTATTTTAATAAAACATTATTGCACAACTATAGAGATTTATTGCATGTAGTGGTATAGTACGCGTGTGGTTAATCTTTAAAGGTACTCCAAAACGACTGAAGACTTCATGAACTAGTTTATCTGCAACTGTCGAAGCTTCTTGATTTGGAATGGCGAAGACTTCTGGCCACTTATTGAAGTAATCCATCACAACCATGTAATATTTGTTACCACTTTCAATTTTCGAACCACGGTGCACCAACATTGTACAATTTCAATGCACCTCTGCTGCAAGTTTGAGGTCCCTTCACAGCCGATCAACTTGTACATTGCAACAGCAATCCTCGACACCGTCACGATAGTGGACCTTGAATTGAATACACCTTGAATAGCGTTTTGCAACTTGGTTATTTCCCTTGGCAAAAAAAGGTTTGATCTTTGGACTCAAGAAGGACCTATACAGCCCACATAACCTCATCGTCGCTGTCGAATTTCATACCACGCAAGTGCTTTTTCAGGTGAGTAAAAAGGTAAAAATCACACAGAGATAGTTTCGGAGAATATGGTGGGTGCTGCATCAGTTGAGAGCCAGCAGTTTGGATAGCAGCACCTGCAACATCAGATCGACGGGCATTTTCATGGTGAAAACGTTATCCAGGATGCAATTTTCGTCGACGTTTATTACTTAGTTCTTCGAGTAATATTTTAATTAATGATACACAATAATCTCCGAATATTATCTTTCCTTTACATGGATAGTGGATCATTATTATACCTCACGCATCGGAGAAGACAAAGGCCATTAGTTTTCCAGCGGACGCAGACATTATATCCACAACTATGACAAAATCACCAGTGCGTGCTAACTCTAACTCATTGATAAGTGTCCTATTCCGAAAACTTATTGATCAACCTTACTGTCAGCCTATTAAAGTCCACCGTTTGACCTTCCCCATAGATATTTATAGGGGGATATTTGCCATAGTTTCCACGCTTGGCAAGAGGTGCAGTACCGCAGTTTTTTTTTATTTTTAGTTGTTATTAGAAAGACTTATTTTATTGAAACTACTTATATCTTTACTACTTACTTTAAAATTTCGTAAATGTATTGAGATACCAAAGTTACTTGTCTAATTTAATGTAAAAACTTATTTGTCTAATTTATGTTCTTGCACTTCCATATTCGCTATTTGGTGTAAATATTTCTTTTTGCAAAAAGGTTGTCTGAAAGAAATTGCTTTATTTTCATTTAATATTGTGCCGGACGGACGAAAGTCTTCGGAGTAAATGTTGTCGAAGATACTTCGCGAGTCGCTGACGTCCTACACCTATAGGTTCCGGAGAGTACTTTCACTGCCGTCTTTGTGGGTGCCGCTGAGATATTGTGGACTGAGGTTCAAATCAAAATGCACGATTAATAAATACAAATAGCAAGGTAGTGGCCAGCGGTTCGACTGATTGATTAGTCGCGAAATTTTATAACTATTTTTATTGAACCGTTGTTGAACTACGGTTGTTCACTGTATATTTCAAAAGATTTCTTTAAATTGTACGGTAGCGTAAAATATCTATTGGTAGTAGCTGGTTTTCTAACACTACTGACTAGCAGCTATTATCAACTAAACTAGCTGATTTTATCACTTGTGTAACTGCAGATATCAGTTACCACTTTCGCTATATATAACTTCGAATATCAGTTACGATCTTTATCGGCTAGCTAACATTTTCACTATATGTAACTGCGAATATCAGTTACGACCTTTTTCGGCTAGCTAACACTTTCACTATATGTAACTGCGAATATCAGTTACGACCTTTTTCGGCTAGCTAACACTTTCACTATTCACTATATACTGCTACTAGTCACTTCAGCTACCACCGGATACCACTGCTTGTCACTGGTAGTTCTTCACACTACTGCTCCTACTGGGCCACGAGCCCCTAAGGTAGACTTTGGCTATACTTTATAGTGAGCCGCTTGCCATTTTCCGTTTTGCATCTTTATTGCATAAACTCTTCACTATGCAAATGGCATAAATTACAATATTTTCTATACAAAACTAATTGCTACACTAACATGCTATAGATAGAAAAGGACGGCCCCCCCCCTTTTGTTTTGGAGGGATTTTTATTGTGGGAGGAGGCAGCGCACATCAACAAATCGGTAGTCTGGCACTTTATTAATATATCATAAAAGTTACTCAAAACATTAACATTGTAAAAAGTTATTAAACGAAATGTCCCAAATTTTCATAATATTTGGGTACCTACATTAATTCTTTGATTTTTCTATAACTAATGCTAATTCAATATCATATTTACAACTCTTTTAGAACATAAATTAAAAACTTCTAGAGAGTTCTAAACGCGCGATTGGTCGATTTTTCTTAATATAATAAAAGTTGTTTACATCACTTGTTATCAAAACGACATTCTATACAAATATACTAAGAGTTATAAACATGCTACACAACTATATCAATACACGTTTTCACCCAGTTTTGTCGGTAATTTCACTATTAATACAAAAAACAATATTCTTTATCACTTCGTTTCTTAGCGTTGTTAGGCCGTCGCGAACAAATATATTGATTAATTGATTAATTGCTCTTATTGCCTTCTCCTGCAATGAATTTCCTCAACGAGGAGCAGATGTTAAGAACGAAGCCCGACGACTCCTGCAGCCGTTCGAACACGAAGCCGGAGACAGTGAAACACTTTGGACGCTCATAAAGAACACAGCTACCCCAGGTTGGCCGCTGACGAACGATAAAGAGAATGTGGTGCCCAATTAATCATTGGAGAACATTTAAATTATGATATGTATATCTCAATGTATAGCTCTATGTACCTCATAAGCAATTAAAGAACATCACATTCGTTTGCGGTTACACGACAGACAGACAGACAAACGAATATTTTAAACATTATTGTTCTTGTTTTAATGGTACGTAAATATTAAAGTTGTGAAGAAATAATTTGCACACATCCGCTCAGTAAAATAAAATGATGTGTCTTATCTAGTTTGAAGAGCACCCCGCCCTCCCGCAATTGCGTGCACTAATCCCGTCACCAGGACTCCCAGCACCACTACTACCAACACCACTACACTAGGAAAAGTCTCCCAGTGTAATGGTGCTGGGATTAGTGGTGACGGGATTAGAGCATGCAATTGCAGGACGGCGGGAGATGCTCTTCAAACTAGGTAAGACACATCATTTTATTTTACTGAGCGGTGTGTGCAAATTAGTTCGTCACAACTTTAATATAATGGATTTCCGCCAAGTAACGCCTGATTCTATTAATTGGTATGTAAATAATCCGCTCAGCTCAATAAAAGCCAGTTTTTTCGATATTACAGACAGACATTTAAATTTCATTTATATTTTTAGATTAACTAGCTATCCGCCCTGGCTTCGCACGGGTGATTTCTGGATCTCGACAACAGCGCCACCTACCGGGTCCAATAGTAAATCTAAACCACCCAGGGACCCGTTCAAACGCACAAAATTTCATCAAAATCAATCGAGCTATTTTCGAGTTTCACTAACGCACGTTAATTGATTTTTACATATTGGTGACTTTTTACCGCCTGGAAAACAATAGGGTGTAACATGTGAACGGAGTAGAAGACTAAGGTGATATTTAACAAAAAATTAAAACAAAATTTTTGAATTAAATAAATAAATAAATTAAAATCTATCGAAATTCAAATCATATCCACCTTACTTTACGAACGGCAATAAAACAATAAATTTAGTAGGCATCTTTGACCTTATCACTTCGCAGGTTAACGGTCTCAAGGGCAAAGGTCAAGCAATTGTTCAAAAACAAAATTTTCAAACGTTTCATTCAAATTTTTTATTGTTTGTAAAATATCAGCGCCACAGGCTTCTACTCCGTACACATGTTACACCCAATTTTTTTTCCAGACAGTAAAAAAAGTCGTCCAGTATATAGAGATATGTGAAGAGAAAACTTTGTGCCCCTTCTCAAACGTATTGCACGCACAACCTTACCGTGTAGTGGCGGTGTAAGATATCCACTGCCCCTTATCGCGCCGTGAGTGTCGTAGGAGGCGATAGAGATGACGGTTCATGATACCTTGAAATATTAATATACTGCAGTTGCTATAGTGTGTTGCTATCACTCGTGGCCACTATCGCAAATATCTTATGAAGCACAATCTACGGGCCTGGTGTATGTCCAGCTGTGGACTTTATAGGCTGTCATATGTGAAAATGGATATTTATGGATCAAAATCACTCATTCGCAGAATAAGTTGGTTTATTGCCAAAGACAAACTCTATCTGCATCTTATAGGTGGCGCTGTGGTGAAGTTTTGATAAACTGCATTGAAACTAAAAGTCTGCGTAGATTTGGAATAAAGTCCATAACGACACCAACCGGAAAGGACATAACAACATCCGTCAGTTTAATTAAACTGTATTTTAATAAAGATATTTACGAAATACAAAATTGGTTTGCCTTGTTACTCCCACAATTAACTTTTTCTAACAGTTAAAATCGTCACCTTGTTCCAAACGTTTTTAAAAACAGCTGTATGATCTAGTATTTTTCTTTTTATAGAATAAGGGTAAGTGGATACTGTGGCCCATAGATAATCTATTAAGAATATAAATGCAGGTATGTTGTCACTTGAAGATTAAGATGATCTCGACACCCACCTTGCGGCGCCTCTACACGTTGGCCAACACAGTGGCGAATATATTGGCCGAAAGTTGGTGACGGCGTCCACACGTTGGAAGGTCGTTCAGTTTGCTTCGGTTCGGGCCAATGTGCGGACGAATTTATTAAAATGGATATTGAGGAGCTAACAGCTGCTGCGGTTTATTTATTCACAGCATACCGCTGCTACGTGAATGCGTATAAGAAAAGGGTGTATAAAAAGAAATGGAATAAAGAAGGTGGTGGATGTTGTCAATACATCGAAACAGAACAAGGTAAAACAATTTTTAATATCTTAAGCTCTTAGGTTTCACATCAGCCAGGGTTCCCGTGACGACTAAGTAATTTTTCTACCGACTTTAAAAATGACGATCAACATCTTAATAAATGATGAGGATCTTTTATACGTGGTAGAGCCATGCTGCAGTTATAGTAGAAGTACAGTTGTGGCACGAATGGGTCGGCTCGACCGGGAAGGACCACGCTCTCACAGAATACCAGCGTGAAATAGCTTAATGCTGCTATGTTTCGTATGGTGAGTGTAGAGATCCGGAGACGCTTTTTACTGGAAACGAGGCATTCCATATTAGTACTCACTGGGACCTCGATTACGAATCAAAATGCATCTGCATTTTGATTCGTAATCAAGGTCCATATACTAAAGTTACAGTTAAAATTCAACATATAGGTACTCTTAAGTAAATCTTTTCTTCATTCTTGTTCCGTTGTCGCTTTTTCAAATGCTTCTTGCAAGGTATTTTTTCTAAGTTGTAACGTCTCTTGAGATAGTATCCGAACATTGTGAGGACTCTCATGCGATATTTCTTGATTAAAGTTTTGTGGAAGCGTTGGTGTAATGTAACATTTGCGAAGGAGAAATATAACAGTCTATACTGTTGTACTTCTCCTCCGTAAATGTTAATTTGTATTTACAGTTAATTGTATATTGTAGGCTGTTGATCAACAGGTAACGTCTGATGTGATCTCTCTTGATTGAAGTTTCGTGGTGGCGTTGGTGTAGGAGCTGCGTGATGATGAAGGGCGATTGATTATTATTTGCGGAGAAGTAACAGAGTACAAAAAAGACTGTTGAAAAATGGGTGAGTCCGGAGAGATAATGTTTCTTGGGAGCGATTCATGCGAGTACGAAGAGCTGTGTGCTGATGAACTGCGATTGTAAATAGAAAGCGAAATAATGGGTTGAAAGTCTCGGCCGCGGCAGTGACGACATTTGTTTAATATTAATCCATGTATTTCGTACATTATCTCTTCTCTTTCGTCTTTAGGGAAATCCTCGAGCTGTTTTGCCAGAAGTTTACGAAACAAATCAGCGTCATCGTTTGTTTATCTGCTGTATTTTTCTTGGTTTGCAACATACTATTTAATGTATTGAAAGCAGCGCCCATCTGCTTGCTGGCTTCCTGTAATTCCGGCGGGTTTTTCGCTCGACGTTTCTGTACCAATTTAGATTTAGTAGCAGGGTTACTGTTCTCTAAAGAAGCTTGTGAGGCACTGTTTCCTGCTTCGCTATATTGCACTTCAGTAGTACTGCTACTTTCCCCACAATCAAATTCATCAATGCTTATATATTCCACCATGTCTTGGATCTGGAACAAAATAATGATTATTTATTTATTATAGAATAGGATGACAAACGAGCACACAGTCCACCAGATGGTAAGTGTTGCTGTAGCCCATAGACATCTACATCTACACTCGATTACAAATCAAAATGCAGATGCGTTGTCACCCGTCAGGACTAAGATGGAATGCCTCGTTTCCGGTAAAAAAAGTTTCTGGTTCTCTACACTCACCATACACAAGCAAGAAACATAGCAGCATTAAGCTACTATTTGACGCTGGTATTCTGTGAGAGCGTGGTCCTTCCCCGGTCGAGCCGACCCATTCGTGCTACAACTATACTATTAATATATCTGCAGCGTGGCTCTACCACGTAAAAATATATTTTTAAATATATATATGTGACAGTTTTTTTTTCTTCTCATAAGTATGTTTGGCTACTGCTAAATTTGACTAACTCTATTGTGCATTTTTACAGATTCCAACAACCAAGGACGAGTGGTTGTCTAAAGCAGAACGTTTTAGTTTCCCCAACTGTATCGGCACTTTAGACGGAAAACATATTGTAACGCTCCGCCCCCCCTCTATCTAAAAATAATATTATATGATCTTTCTAAAGGTTTAATAATAGGCCGTTTGTAATATTTTGGCGTGATCGTCTTAGTTAGGGCCCTTATTTACGTTGTGTTTGTTTAGTAACTTAGTTCTTTTAGGTGTCTTTTGGAAGAATGAATATTCACTAGAGCAATTGAAAGCTGTTGGTAGTGCCTTATAAGCTAAGTGAACCCCGTACACGAAGACAAGGCTCGAGAAAGGTTAAGAACATAAAACGGAATAAGGACCTGCCCTGTCACTGGTATCAGGTTTACATTATTAATTTATTATTATTTATCCCTTCCCGCTTGGAAAAAGCTCACAATATATTTATACAAAATACCCGATACAAGGGCTTCGTTCTCCTACATTTATTTAAAAAAAATGTAAGGAAGGCACACAGCTCCACACACGCCGTGCGCGGTGAGCGCCAACCATTTTGATGCACTCCCCCCGTAGGGAACGCTAATTCGCGAACTGGACCGTAATCCACAGCAAAATAACTAGCGAACCAGTAAAATAGGCTTTGCCCCGTGTTAGTGCGTAAGCACAAACATCGACCGAAGTCGCGCATGTCAATGCGTGTAAACGCCATACAGAATACGAACGAATCCAGCCGCAGTGAATGTACGTCACACGGTTCAGGCAAATAGGCACACTAACGGCCTACACAACGTTTACACGGCCGTAAACCCTCCGTGAGCGCCTCCACCTGCCAGACCGCCACTCCCGCAGACGTGATGTAAGTGTATGGCATCGCCATCGATTGCATGATCAGCACGGCTACTAGCCGCAGAGCGTTTCATGAGTCTACCGCTCACCTTAAGGGAATGGTGTCCCACGTTGCGTTGTGCGGCTTTCGGCCGCAGCCTTGAGAGTCTCCTCAGATCCTCCCGCCAGCTACCACCCGCATGAGGTCAACACATGTGCTCCATCAACCAATACAACGGCAGATATAGCCAAAAGGCAGTTATAAGATAAGAGTAATAATTCGCCATCAGAAAGGTTTGTGTCACTGACGTTGAGTAAATGCATTTTCGATCATGTTTGCCTCACCCACCAACAAGTTGCCTTCAATCATTCAAAGGTGGGAAAGTTACAGAGATATATTATTATGTTGTTATATAAAACATCATGGAGGGCAGACAGTCTGCAGCCCTGTAATGAAGGGACCCGACTTGGGCAAAGCTACTTAGGTGTGAGTCAAACCAAGACGCAGAGAGCGCCATTGAGAATAGCGTCCCACCAAACAACCATCGCAGAGACGCAATGCTACAGAACGCAACAAGCATCAATACGACTATCGTCGGGCTTACACCACTCCAAGGTCCCCCAAACATCCCAGCAGCCATCACGCCCCGCATACCTCCATCGACCAGAACCACAAGAATGCGTCGAATCAGGCGCAGCACACCTGCAGATCCATCACAAGACGCAATACCGCAAGTAGCAGTAAGCATCAATGCAACTATCATACGGATGGCGCCCCCCTCCCGACACACCCACATGATCCCTATCGACTTTGGTAACAAAGTTTGTATTGTTGTTATATAAAAAATATCACCAACGTATCATAGTAGCACGCTACTATGATACGTTGGCGTCTTGCCAATGAACAAAACTCCACGTATCATAACGCTAATGCACTAAGACATGAAGTTGAGTATGCCTGCTACACTTAAAAGTGTTACCAAACACACTCATCATCCCAATCCGAAAGATAGACGACGCATCGCTATGCGCTATGACGTCGCCCACAAACGGTATGGGTGTGCGATGTCCACGGGAAAGCCGTATTGCTACAACAAACCCGCTTACCACCAGCACTAAGATGATATGTCTAGGACACATCGGTTAGCGAGCCCAAGTTTACCTCGTACCAATTGCTCGTGAAGCAGCACACACGCCACCATAATATTCCTTTTCAAGTCCCTAATAAGGACTAGTCATTTTGCTACAGTACTAAGAGCAGTCGGTCATCCGACCACCCCATATAATGCTTATGCATTAAGGACGCGTTTACAATATTGATAGGTATAGAATCGCACTACTACATTGACAAAAGTCACACACACACTAGTGTACGCACGGTTGGCTGTGGGAATCGTAGTCAAATGAAATTATTTTGATAATTTGAAAGATTGAATTTGTTTTTCATTTCTTATACCTACCTCAGAAATATACTTCGATACGAAATACGAATACCTGCTCCAGAGACTGCTTGGCACTGGAAGCCCTCTACTGGTAGTGAGATGTTAGCTCTGGACTTTGAACTGGTTTTGTCAGTTATAATAAGACCTTACCTACCTGCGGACTTGATGGAGTGACCTGAAGGTGTAATTTGGTGATTACAACAGGAACTCCTAGACTAGTGGAACTAGGTGTGCCGAGTTTGGGTTCGTTTTGTTGGTTATGATGAGACCTTACCACCGGACTTGATGGAGTGACCTGAAGGTGTAGTTCGGTGATTACAAGTGGAACTCCTAGACTTGTAGGACTAGGTGTGCCGAGTTTGGGTTCGTTTTGTTAGTTATGATGAGACCTTACCAACAGACTTGATGGAGTGACCTGAAGGGGTAATTCAGTAACTACTGCTGGTATTTCTGAACCAGTAGAACTAGGTGTGCCGAATTTCACTCCATCAAGTCCGGTGGTAAGGTCTTATCGTAACTAACAAAACGAAACCAAACTCGTCACACCTAGTTCTACTAGTCTAGGAGTTCCATTTGTAACCACCTGATTACACCTTCAGGTCACTCAATCAAGTCCGGTGGTAAGGTCTCATCGTAACTAACAAAATGAACCCAAACTCGGCACACCTAGTTCTACAAGTCTAGGAGTTCCACTTGTAATCACTGAACTACACCTTCAGGTCACTCCATCAAGTCCGGTGGTAAGGTCTCATCATAACCTACAAAACGAACCCAAACTCGGCACACCTAATTCTACCAGTCTAGGAGTTCCAGTTGCAATCACCGATTTACACCTTCAGGTCACTCCATCAAGTCCGGAGGTATGGACTCGTCATAACTAACAAAACGGAGCCCAAATTCGGCACACCTAGTTCTACTCTTTCAGAAATTCCAGCAGTAGTTACTGAATTACCCCTTCAGGTCACTCCATCAAGTCTGGTGGTAAGGTCTCATCATAACTAACAAAACGAACCCAAACTCGGCACACCTAGTCCTACAAGTTTAGGAGTTCCACTTGTAATCACCGAACTACACCTTCAGGTCACTCCATCAAGTCCGGTGGTAAAGTCTCATCATAACCTACAAAACGAACCCAAACTCGGCACACCTAGTTCTACCAGTCTAGGAGTTCCATTTGCAATCACCGATTTACACCTTCAGGTCACTCCATCAAGTCCGGAGGTATGGACTCGTCATAACTAACAAAACGGAGCCCAAATTCGCCACCCCTAGTTTTACTCTGCAAGAAGTTCAAATAGCGGTCACGAAAGTACACCTTCAGGTCACGCCATCAAGTCCGGAGGTAAGGTCTCATCATAACCAACAAACGAGCCCAAACTCGGCACACCTAGTTCCGCTCGTCTAGGAGTTGCAGTAGTAGGTAAATTTATATATCCTACTTATTTTTAGCTAAATAAAAAACTGTGAGTATAAAAATAATAATTTTATCACTTATCAAGTACTTATGTTTCCAATTTGTTTTTTTCTAATATTTTGTGTATATACAGCGATCTTTTCAGAATGAGCCGCTGCATACAGGCGATACAGTGTCCACTCACGACGGCGGCCGAGCGCGGACTGTGGTTTCATCGAAATCTTTGTACAATAAATCAAAGCAGGCACCAACAATAAAATAGCCCTTATTGCAATAGATTATGATTTATCCGTATTAGCAAAATATGTGAAAAATGTGCATCAGTTTTTATTTTTTCTACGACAATTTGTGACATTTTGATAAAAATAAACACAGGGTTTTTTAATTGAATATGTCTGTTATCTTATAGTATTTTTTAAATTTTTTAAATATGTTGATAATAGACATGTACCGAAACACAAGCCGGTATCGTTCATTTTGTAGAAAATGACAACGAAAGTTCGTTTTTACAATATAAAAAACTACTATTTTCAACAAAAGAGTTACAGACGTTTGCAGATGAAGAACCAATCTATACATGGTAGTTTTTACTTATATTTGATTTGGTTTAGTTTTGTCACAAAATCTCCCGAAAAACACCCTAATTTTGGTTGATTTGTAAACGCGTCCTTAAGGAGACCTTCTATAATAATATTTTGTATCATAGACCTTACTTTCATAAGTCATTAATATAGTAGTAGAACTTCAACCCACGATTCTACTATTGTAACGCAAATTCATCATAGAGACCTTCTATACTCTAATGTCTGAAATGTATTTATATAAACTTTATGCTTATTAATGTAATTTTATTGCT